CCGGTATCGTTGCATTGTCTGTGTTTGCAAACATCCACACTATCCTCCCAGGCCATTAAGTATGTAAGCACCTATTTTGTCAACTCAACCATTGAAACATAGCCGTTACGTCCCCCGCTAAACCATCACGATATTTTCTCCACATTATAATGAAGGCAAGTAGCATTTTTTAAAGTTTTTTTTTTGATGACGATGTCGACGTTAACAGTTTTCACTACTCTTGAAGACGGGCAATGTCCTTTAGATGTAAGGTATAACTTTAAGCCACAGAATCCAAATTAGCCTTAGATTCGCACACAAGGCAACGGTTCTCTTTTGTGTTACACATTGTCAACGTTGAGTCACTGTTAAGAAGTGTCAATCCCTTATCACATTTGAGTAGTTTCAAAAAATTTGACTGTACTAACAGGTTGACAATAAAACTATGCAGTTTCCAACGATTCTTTCATTTGATCAGCTGAAATGATTAATTTTTACGGCAGGCATAGGTTTCGATTGAGTTTCCGTTCGCTCAGCAAACCTCAAAAAATCACATCTGCCATATTACTAGGAAAATTTCCAACAGAGCCGTTAATTTCCGATGCCTTGCATGCGGTCACCTTTAATGGCCAAAGTAGAATCCGAACTAGGGAGTCGTCTTGATAAGCTTTCACGACTACCTGAAGGCTTAATTATACTCGTTGGTTAAAAAGCAGGAAGCTAAAGACCCTTTGGAAAATACAGAACTCCAAAGACAGTTTTAGCCTCATGAGTGGTCTCAATTTTCCACATTCGTCACAACGACTGCGGCTTGTACATCATTACTTTCTGTAATGAATCCTTCTGATTCGCGTCAGTCAATGCTGGCGACGATTGTACAAATATATCCTTATTTTATCCTCCTCAATGCTATTTTTAAGTCACTGGTTCATGAGGACGCTTGGCTAACAAACTTTGTTTGCCTTGTCTTCAGTGGACACGTTTGGAAAATGAGACTATGCATGCACACGACCATGCATACAGGTAGACTTAGCAATTACACGAATTTTAACTGGTATTATAGGGAATAGACTTCCTCTATCACTTTCAGATTTTTTAAGGTTACTTCATGTCGCTTCGTGCAAAATAAGGTCTATTTGCAATTCCTCACTGACAGAGTTTTGATATCGGATACAGTATCTCTTGGTAAAGTACCTGAAACACCTGCCATTACACCGTTTGAAATTGGTGACGTCCTCTGGTTGATGCAAGGTGGTTCGGGAAACTCATTTTTGGGTATTAGCAAAGCTGTTTTGAAGATAAAAGTGTTGTTTTGTGTGTGTCCAATAGGGGTGGCCGATCGATAAAGTCTGATTGAACAAGCAGAAGTACAAATGTCTGAATGACCAGATGAGTAGTATTACGAGGAGCAGTGGAGGTACATGCGCAGGAATGCAAAAACAGTCGGGTCTGAACGAGCGCATGAGTGGCTGTGCTGGGTGTGTGATGTACGGGGATAAAGACAATTCTGCTCGTTTGGATTTACACACGATGTTGGCATCGGTCATAAAAAATTTACATTTTCTGCCGTGAGATTTTCTGTATTCTCGAAAATGCGTCTTTTTTGTAATGGCCTGTTCAAACCTCCAAGCGAGAAGGCAACGCCAATTCGGGTGTGCACAGTGTTATGCACGATGATTAATTACTATCACACGTAGAGATTTTTTCGTATGAGTATTTCGTACCGCATCATCTTTGAACATTTAAACCACATTATCTTTGTAGATTCATGCTTAACTTTTTGGTATCATTCAATTCAGGATTAGTTAACTAAATTATATTGTGTGTTTAACATGTGAAGCCACTTATATGATTGAAAATTACGTAGTGAATAATTAGTGCTAACGTTTAATTTTTCCTAATGCTGTTTGTTTTCTTTTCTGTTGCTTCATAGGATCACCATAGCATTTAAGTTTTTGCAACAAAAAGTATTCAGCAAGCTTGTGTTTAAATCATCTTGTGAGAGGTTCCGCATAATTTTAAAATTGTCACTAATTTTAAACTTCTTCCTTCAGGACACTTGAAACTGAATGAAATTTCCCTAATCGTCAGTGTAAAAGTCTATCACTTTTCATTCAGTTCATGTTTCATGAAAGTGGTGTATTGTTTTGGGTTTTACCAATCAAGTTGTGTTAGATATTATTTAAAACAACAAGTAAAACTCAACTATGGTGTCCGAAACTGTATTGAGTTAACTAAAGTAGCTATGCAGAATGACGCGAGACTAGGCTGCGCGATGTAGGAGGTGAAAACAGACTATCAATCACATGCTACACTAGAGGTTTTGTTGAGGTCTATTTGGGGAATGCAAAATGTCGTTTAGGTTTAGAAACATATGCACAACAATTTGTGCATATAATGCAGTGAAAGCATTCGCCATTGACTGATTATGGATAAGATTCCGGTATTTTCGATTGCAAATACATGATCCACTCCTTTCACGCGCTATCAGAAAGTTATTCGGTCAAGATATGCAGTCACTTCGACATACCCCACAATGAGATGGGGCCGCACTGTTAAGGGTGCACATTTTCAAGTTGCTTCTATCTGGCATCGGGTTCAAAACGTTGGTGGTGGTAGTAATGCGTAACGAGTTTGCAAAACTTGTTCGCAATATTCACAAATGTGGCCATAAAATTTGCCTTATCGTCTAGCATATTAAAGTTTTACAAATGATTTTGGACCTAGTTAAGATTAGTCTGACTGTGATGTTCTAAGACCTGACAGTATCTGATTTCTCCATAAGCTGTTAAATGGTTTGGTCTTTTGTGATATGTGGCTTTACAAATCAAGAAACGGCGGGTTATGGATAAGCAGAAACATATAAACGCCTAAAATGCAGGGCTGATCCAAATTAAATTCGAATGAGAATTATTCACTGAATGTATTTCGGTAGTCGACTCATTTGTGCTTTTTAAGTAACATTAGGATGAATTTATTTTTTCAAAAGAGTGATTTTTTAAGTTCGTGATTTAGTTGCTAAATTACAGATGCCGAGTTTATGCGAAACTACTGATGACCCCGAGGCAGCAAGGTTTGACTAATAGAACGCTTTAAAGGTTTACACAAGACTAAAGTTACCGAATTTAGTGGCAAATCACAAATGAGCAGTAAAATTTGTTTTTCGACGTTAATTTGCATCTAATTGAAGAGATCATCTAGCCAACAAGTTCAATGGGGTCTATGTAACAGCAAACAGGACATAGCTCATAATTAAAATCACGGTAGAAATAGAGTCGTCGTAGTGTTGGAAATCATGGAGTCGTTTTATGTATCAACGTGCTCATGAGTAAATGCAAGTTAAAAAGCAAGTCTATCCAAGATCATTGTATAAGAGTCTCCAGATCATACCCTAAATTAAGGTCAGTATGCAGCTATGAGAAATATTCACTTACAGGCAAAAAACATGTGTACTTTAAGGGACCTCAAAAATGTAAACGGGGATTGCACTTTCATCTTTTGATACAACCAGACAATGCCACAGTAGTGCGAATCGAATTCGATAAAGTGCCAGCGGAAATAAATTTTTTTCCTTTAAAACATTAACCGATAACTGCAAATTACTGAAAGCCAAAAAGGATTTGAACATTGCATCTACCGATTCTGTGCCGATATGGTGTCCGGGAAGTGTCATCTAAAGGGAATTGTGCGATTACGTGATATGAAATAATGTATTCCCACATTGAATGAAGTCCTAATTCAAGACAAAAATGAAAAAGGGAGTGCTTCACTCCAATGAAATACTTACTGGGGATACAATGTAATTTTCTCGAATTGCTTTAAATATTTAGCATATCTACTAATATGTGAGTGGCCAATAGCAAAAGATTGAAAAACCTTCGCTGAAATAATAAGTCTACTAAAGTATAGAAAACAATTTTTCACGCTTTTTTGAGGTGTTTTCTCATATAACCTACATGGTACTGCAAAGATTTAATGTCCGAGAGCTTTTTTTACACCTGATTGGCTTTTTCGTGCGATTGTTTTAATTACTTTTTAAGTTGCTTGTAGTTTTAGCTTTTTGGGGTGGTAACGTACTTTAATTCGCGTGACCCTGAAGGTAATTAGGTTTTGTTTGAAGGTATGACCATCATTTAAGTTTTTGAAGTTGTAAATCTACACATACACATGGCGGTTGCGTGTTGCACATTGTTGTAGAACCTCAAAGTAAATCTACCTCTTTATATTTATTCCGAAATTTTTTTCGACGTGAGATATGATGGTACTGCTAAGCCTATTCAATTCTTACGAACTCTGACGGTGTAATGCATAATGTTTTATGCATCAGCGCAAATTCCATCATTTCATTATCAAGCCATCTCATTATTTCTGATATCATTTCGCAACATAAACCAATGTTTCATTCTACATACTTGTATTTATGTTAGTTTTTGATCTCGCTTATTTTTTCGCTCGTCATTTTTCTGATAAAACTAAAATAGTCAATTGTTGTCTCGCTACAATGTAACACTTTCCGTCTTTTCCTTGAAGAATGAAATAAATTTAGGCGTACAGAACAAGGTATCTCTACGTTTAAAAGCTATATTTATATGGTGGAATTCTTGTCCTTAAAGTAAATATTTAATATTGATATTAATTGTGTCTGATCATATCTAGTTTCTTAGTTTTATGTCAGTATTTTTCACGTGTTTAAAAATACCGTTCTGTGACTAAGTGTGTAGTTTTATCAACACAAATTGACGGTAAATTCTATCATATTTGAATCGATTATATACTTCTATTTATTGCTGCCGACATACAAATACTTTATTTCGATGGTCTTGTTCCCAGAAGTTTCTTCCTTTAGTAGATTTATTAGAACTTAATGAAGCTTACTTTTCTACTTGCCCTGAAGAATTATCGTGTTGAATTGAACTTTACAATGGTGATTTGTTTATTTGCTTCAACCTTGCCAAACAGACTCTAATTTTCACCGCCTGGTCGTGCACGCATTTTTTTAAAGTCAGGTTACCACGTGTACAATGGTAGAGGTGAGGCATAGTGGCGACTAACAAAGACCAATCCCAAGCAATCTGTGATTGTATTCACTGTCTTACTTCTTTTAGATGCCCGAGCCAAATTCAGTTGACGGCGGAAAGACCGAAATAGAGCTCATTAATCTTGACGATGATACCGACACTGGGGATTCAGAATTCGAACTTCCCGAGGGAAGTGGCGCGCAGGATGATGATAGCATTGCGGCCGATGAGGATGTAGCCGATGAAGAGGAGGTCAATGGTCTAATGAGGGTACGACTACCTTCATGTGTAATTTTATGGTCATGTCCGTACTGACAAGAATGTTGGAGTTTGATGAGTGCCCTCTTTTTAATGCCTGCATCGCTCACCAATGGTACTAATATTAAATTTTAGTAGTAAGTTGGTTTTTCCAAACATTGCGATCTCCAGTCTCCACCAGGACACAATAATGTAGTTTTCTGTCAATGCGTCAACCTTAAATACTCATTGAAATTTGTTATAAAATCAGTGTTCTTTAGAGTATTCGTTTCAAAGCTTTGACTGAATTGATTAAGTAAAACTACATTTTGCGGAAGTGCTTTTTTGACTTTTTTTCAGTGGTTTCCTCGCTTTTTTACAAAAGTTTCCATGATATGGGAATCGCATGCAACTGAAGTCTTGGCTAATTAACCATTTTGGGTTTCAGCTTCATTGGAAGTACCCCACACCCTCGTAACCTAGCCTGAACGAGCGCCCGGAGCCGGGGCTCTCTCATGTGAATTGCGTTCCCTGGCCCTGCAGATATTTGTCGTTATTTAAAGACTACCGCGAATGTAAACATTGACATGGATATAGTTTTCTGATTATCTACAGTGAATTATAAATCTAAATTTTTATCAAAATTTATGGTCTATTTGAGTGGTACATTGCACAAACTTCAGTGAACCTACTTCAAGTCGTTCTTGGGTGACTTCAAAGGTGCTTACCGCAGCCTAGACTCTAGTATGGCTTTTTATTTGTTGGGATGTGTCCTACACGTAGTCGAAGTTCGTGGAACACCATTACGGTGAGATAAGTTCTTACCATCTATAAATTACCTTAGGTTCTGTTCTCATGCGGTGCTGGTTAAATAGTTACTTAGCTAAGTGACAAGATATCTCAGAGGTTCTAGTGCGCACTTAGACTGACAATGAGATACTAAAAAACACTTGCCAAATTCAAAATAACCTAAATCGACTCAGGTGTGAGGAGTCAGTCGTACCATGACATGCTTTTGAAAGTATTTAAAAGTGCTGTTTAAATTAATCAATAGTGCAGAAATATGCTGCCGTATATCTTTTTGTGAGGTGGGTCTTAAAATTCCCAAGCTGTTGGCAAACGTTGCTTTTTTTAACAAATTAACACGCGAAATTCCAAAAAGTGTAGTATAGATTTGGCTCCTAATTAAAGGATGTCAAAACGCTTATGAGCGTTTTTGATGTCACAAATGCTTTCGAATAGGTTGTTATCATTTGCCCAGGAAGCACCGGTTTCTGGGAACAAGGCACGCACACACAAATCAGACGTGCCATATTTCATCCGCCCTTGGCAAAGTTGTGTTGGGATGCATGTTTCCTAAAAGCCAGTGTCTACAGCTAGAAATTTTAGCAAATCAACTTCTGAGGGCTTCGCCGTTTCCTTATTACCTTATAAAAACTCAAAAAATTTTGACACTCGAAATGACGTAGCGTCTGGACGCAGCCACCCTGTGTTGCTGAAATTGGCCGTGGAAATGTCAGGTTTCTGCAATTTGAATGCCTCTCGAAGAAAAAAACTAAGAAGGAGTCGGAGAACTTGCATTTTGCGTCTGGTTGTCGATAAATGCGGTTTTTAAGCGCCTTTGCTAAATCATCGGCTTGTGCAAGGTTACTTTTGAATTTTACTAAGCAGTTCCTTAGACTAACCTGGGAATAGACCAGTGTGGGGTCGTCCTTTTGTTCTATAGGCTCTTCACAACAAATGCTTTGTCGCAAAATTCTTAGATTCTTTTGATATATTTCATATAATTTGACTTTTGGTACCTAGGTGGTTTCCAGGAGGATTAAAGTTCTAAAGGGCCTTTTGACTGTTCAACATCAAATATCAGTTGGTGGAGTTAGTCAGTCGCCCTCCCTTGTTAACGTTCTTTTCTGACCTCGACGTTTGAGAGCGCCTTTATCATAGTGCTGAAGGCTTGCCCTCCACTGCTATTTCTGCATTTGCTTCACTCCTGTCCTCCGAATGCTTTTCAAAAGTTCCCATTTTGTGTGTTATCACCACCAAGTATCTTCACTACTTCGAATATTCTTCGTTTCTTACACGGGTCATTATTTTACAGATTTTGCCTTTGATACCGTTGTGATGCATTTTTCTGTCAAGTGCTTACCTGGAAGAAACTTCACGGCATGCAAACTCCCGTCTGTTGGTGAATTTAGAAAAATTCCGCCGGAGATTAGTCTCGATTTTGCACACTTATTATCCTACAGCTCGCGGCTGTCTTCGTTTTGTACCTAGTGATTGGGGTTCTACGTCTAGGGTCATACTGCTTGTAAGCTACTATCATTCAGCTTTCTTCTGGTGTCGCAGCACAAAGTGTAAAGCGGAGTTATTGAGCTTTGAGTTGCACCACATTCTGGTGGTTTGCAGGTATCCGAATATTTAAAGTAAAACGTTGTTTTGAGCCTGAAAATCGGATTTCTATTGGCAATGTTAGCGTACTACGTAAAATACCGGAGTCCTCTCCTAGTAATCCTTGGCACTTCTGCGAACACGCGTGTTGCTTTGTCTAAATTAATGGCATAATTCTGTTGCTAAAAGTATACGAGAAAGGCAATTCGACCCCATTTTGTGTTTCCAGGAGAGCGAAATGTCCCTAAGCGAGCTGCTAGCGTCCTACGGTCTGCCAGCGTCAGCCATTCCAGACGGGCCAGTGGGGGCGTCTGTCGTTGGCAGCGTTCAGTCGGGCAACGAGCGACCGACCCTACGCAAGCGCCGCCACACCGCTCTCGGTAACACTTCGTCTGAGGCGCAAGTTGACGGCAACCGCGCTGGACATCAGGTAGGTTACATTTTATCATTTTGTGTGGTTTATTTAAATAGCGTACTGACATGACTATCCGAAGTTGGAGTAGATAACGATTGCTTTTACAAAGTTGAAATGACCTAACATTTTAATATTTTTGGCATCAATAACGAAACTGACTTCAGCCGTCATGTATCAAGTGAGTTTCGTCGCTTTTAATATTCTTCGGCCTTTTACCCGCTGTAACTTGAAATTATGGTGATGCGCGACTTAACTACTAAGCTTTAGCAGTCCCAAACGTGCCATCCTGAGCTCCTTGAAATTGCAGTCGGTGCTTAGTGAAGTACGCGATCGGTGGGTCATTTTTGAAAACTAGGTCAATGTGTCTTCAAGTAAATGCCACAACGGTAACTCTTCAGAAGTTTTTCTCTTTCTGGCTATCTAGATTACTTGTCAGAATGTACTTTCAGGGTGTTCCGTTTATTGGTCAGTCAAAGTTACCTCTACAAGACTGTGATCATGTATTGGATTTTCCTGCTACTAATCATAGGACCATTCGTCAGTCCATCGTATGCGTGACTAACTTAATTGTCTGTCGACCTAGAAAGTTGTGTTGATGTGTAATTTTGGCTGTTGTTTTCTTTAGACCACTGATGCTGTAACCGCCGATAAGGTCATTCGTAGCGAAGCGGAAGTAGGTGGTGCCAACACTAGCGCTATCGAAATCGATCTCACGTCAAGCAATGGAAATGCTGATGAAGAAGAAGACGAGGAAGCAGAAGACGATGATCGTGCTGATGATGCCGACAATGACGAAGATGAAGTTGGCTCAGATGAAGCTGATGGAGGCGAAGACGACGATATGAAGAGCCATGCTGTATCGCTGTGGTGTCAGGCCCTTGCGGGTAAGCGTTTGAATTTGATTGAACTCAAGTTTATTTCTTTTTTGCGTAGTGGTTGTTTACCGTTTTAATGCGCGGAGTAATATCACTTCCTTGTCGGGATATCTCCAAGATCGTTATCTACACATTAGCGTACGAGAGCCTATAGGTTGGTAACTGAGCGGTGTCAATTTAAAAATGGGTTCTTTTCACCCATCAGCGAGTGTTACGATGTCACTGGAAATGTACAACTGCTGAAGCTATGCATTTGGCAGCGTCGTGTTCAAGGCTACTTGTTCTCCGGCATTTCAGTTTGAAGAGACTGTGGTCGCTGTTTAGACAAATCCCTATTCGGTGTTTGGTAATGCTGCATTTGCTAATACCATCTCTGTTTCATTGGTAGTGGTGGGTAAGCCAACAGGTTTTTTAGAGAACAGCTGGCTGATGGATGTCTATTGCCACTAGAACACGCTGATTGTGAAGCCAAAATTAACTAATGACCTCGTTTATTAAACCACCTGGGTCAGACTCTTTCTTTGTAAACGCAAATTCTTAGAAGTGCAAGTGAAACCTCAATAAGTAGTTAATCTCTTTGTGCGTCGCTTGCTTTAGCTGGCGATTCTCCACCTGCCTACAATTCGGAAGAAGATGAGGACTACCTACCTAATGTCGAAGGAGAAGGCGATTGGCGCGGCGTGAGTTCTTGCTGCTACTCCCTTTTTTCATCCTATGTAGGGTGGATTTTGTACAGCAACATTATAGCAGTTGACAGAACCTCGTATTCTGTTCAGTTGTTTGGACGTAGTAAATTTTAATAGAATAAAAGCATGCCATTCCACCTGCCTCGTCAGTTCAGCTACTTAATTTTCCCTGAAGTGTTCTTTCTCGAGAAGTCAAGCCAACGTCGTACCATCTTTAAAGAGTTGCTTGAGGACTGGGGGCCAGTTGTCTCCGGAAACTCAGCGCACACTTTGCCACGCTCACGATGTAATCAGGGCCAGTTCTAGTGCAATCATTAAAAGTCCTACAAAATGTTTAACATCGAAGATTTGTTTCCTACGGTGTTGATGAATTCCAAAACTGAATTCTTATAGATGACTAGAATAGTTATCTGATTTATCGGAGAAGACGGTCTGAAGTAAACTGCATTCTATTTTGTTAAGACAAGCTAAAGTGAAACGAAAGTGTCTCGTGCACTTTTTTCAGGCTGTATATTTCGTAGCCTGTATGGTTATTGGTGCAGTGGAGTGGCAAGGCCGTTGTCTCTACTGTGGGGTTTTGTGTTCTGGTAGCTTCACGTATCCGAATTTTGCATTGTTAGTATCGTAATGCTTTACGCCAATCCGCATCATTTATTAGAATGCGAAAAAAAAACCTAAGTGGATGTGAACGCTTGTTTCCGTCTTTTTCCATTTTCCAACGCACTTGATCCGTGACTAATGTGCCACTGTTGCTAATGTGGCTCAAATAACGGCATCGAGTGATTATAGGTTAAACATGACTGGTTTGTTCCGTCGACGGCAGTTATATTTCACTTCTCTCAGTAATTGTTAACTCGACCTCACATCCAGGTGCACCATTTGTTGCACCAGGTGAATTGATTTGTTTATGCGTAGGAGATGCACGTTGGGGACGACTACCAAGCTACCGTTCCTCCGTCAACGCAGCCAATAAACTCACGACAGGATTCTCACCTGGGCCAGGAAGCGCTCATGCTGTGGCAGCCTGGCCATCTTCCGGAAGTCGATGTTGAACGCTACCAACAGACTTACTCTCGCACCCTCTCTCTTGCTGCCCCTATCTCCCGAATACCAGACGATGAAGAGGTGAACTGTTGTAGATTTTCAACAGTCGTAGTACAGCAACCATTTTGTTCGTCTAGATTCTGCTTCTCTAAAATATCAAAGTAAAGATCGTGGCCTTTTTTTCCTACACCTTTAAATTACGAATAGCAGTATCGGACGTGTTTTTGCAATATTTCGTGGTGTTCGGTTTATCATCAATTTCCGATACTTGTTAAGGCGGCTACGTCGCTATCAAGAGCACCTAATATCTTCCAAGGTGTTTTTGCTACAAATATGCTGTTTATTAATACAATGTCCACCACTTGCCATAACTTTGTTAAGACTTACTTTAAATGAAGTCAGTATCTGTTTTCTAAGTTCTTACCTTATTTGATATGCTATTCACAATGATTATCTGTTTCTACATCATCTCGTCACCAGGCACTATTTCTTCTTCTCCGATCAAACTTCGATACAGATGAAGCCTTGCAGCGCCTCCAAATGAAACCAGTTCAACCCACAGGTAGTCGTCGTCATTGTTATTGGCAAACATCAAATTTGTGGTATTTATGTGCGCATTAATAACAGTTCAAACTCAGAGTGGCTTGTGAGAGGGTATTTCTGAACCAATCAAATTACACTGCAGTTCATTTAAGTCCCTCTTTACGTCTAACTCACTAATTTTAAGTCATTGGTGAGTCTTGCTGCCTGATATTCTCCTTGCTGCCACGCATACTAGAAGTGTGTCGATTCGACATCATTGATAAAATTAGCTTTTGTGTTCAATATACCTCTTTGTCGCACGCATTCGCCTCTTTGGATATGTTTTCATTTACTCAGCTTTGGTTACAAACGCCCGCTTTACTGGTCATGCGTAATGAATCCTGATGTGATAATTGTCTCTCCTTCTTGCTGCTAACTGTGCCCTCAGCTGTGCGCCTCAAATCCATTGCCAACGGCGGTTTTTTAATTTCGTGCAATTTTTATATGGCTACTGCTACAGACACGTTTCCTTCAGAACACAAAATTCCCACACTTGATCTTTCTTGCTGGCTTGTTTTTCACAGGTTGTGTGTCTTGCTTATTTGTGGTACGTACGTAGTCAACAAATGCCGAAAATTTTCATGTCCACACTTACCGCTGTTTTATCTGGTACGCTTGAGAAGTAGGTCTAACTAATCTGCTTACTTTTATTTTTCGCCAAATTTACTATTCCTAGATAGTTTTAAACAGACTTTCCTAAGCTCCGTCGTAGTGCCTAAGAAGTTACGTTCCGAGTATTTGCAGTGCGTAGTGCTATTGAAAATGTTAACCGTTTTCGTTTCAATACTCCAACACCGAATATGGGGGAGCAACTTTGTGTTCTCCACAAAAGATGAATCGTCCATGATTGTCAGTCGTTACAATTTCGACTCAGAAAATACCCATTGCTACGCTAAAACTTTGTTTTTTTACTAGAAGTAACTCACGACTTTATTGTTGTATGCATTTGTTTCAAGACAACTGTTTCTTTAAATGCGATGCATTTATGCCACCATGTTAAATCATTGCTACTTTTATGGTTGCTCGTTTTCGTCCTAATTTACAAATATCTCCCAACGTTAGTCATATTTTCTAAAACACTTTGTCTCCTAGAAATGTGCCGACTAGACTGTTTCTGGGTATGTAGTCGAGCTGAAACGTAGTTTATTGTGACTTTGGCGAGCGTCACAATGCCAGTAGTTGGTGTTTAAAATGATTTAATTGGCTTTTTACGTTGCATCTTTTATTTGTTAACAATTTTATTTAATTAGCTTTAATTTCTTCAGTTTTTAATAATGGGCTGTATTACAATACCAGATCAGTGCCGCAGTTGTGCTTGAAATCACCTACGGCCCATTAGTCGTCAATTATGCTATAGGTAAAACCGAAGCAGTTTACGGTGGTGACCTTGAATACGTCCTCTCGTTGAGTGATCAAATACTGTCATTAGCATATCAAAGTTACTCTGCCACTTTTATATTCCACTGAATTTTGTATGTAAAACTTTTTTCCTTATAATACACTCATCAAAAACTAAACTCAGAAGCCCCAAGTTCTCGAACGGCCCTTAGCTCCATGTTGAATGGTTAAGTCTCCATGTAAGTCCACAGTGCGCCGTCTAGATTAGAAATGCTAACAAAAACCAAATACCCTTGAATACAAGGCTATGACGTGAGCGATAGTTTGAATAAGCTTGTGATGGATACTTTCAATTCATGCCCCGCCTTAACGTCTGTGACTAACCATGAATAACCGATCTTAAAGTATATTTATTTGCGACCACTGAAACGTTGCTCTTGGCTTCAGCCAATCGTAAAATGCTGTCAATCAAAGAATGCTAGATTTCAGTCTGATAGTCTACAATTGGTCTTTGTGTTTTTTTTTCGCGTAGAAATTCCTCCCCATCTGGAGACGTGGAGTGAGTTGGATTGCGCCGCGTTTGAGAAGGGCTTCATCGCTTTCAATAAAAATTTTTTGCAGATCCAAGAAAACAAGGTGTCGTTACGATGTAACTTTAAAATATGATGAAAATCAGGTGTTTTTAAATTTACGAATTTGTAACCTACTGTTAAAGCTGTATTCCAATACCTTCGTTCAAGTCCATTAGACACGCATTTGCTTTTCGTGACGCCACCTCGATTCGTCATAATGCGCCCTTGAGTTTCGTGGAGTTGCTAGTGACCAGCCTTACCTAAAGAAGCCGATATGTATAGTGTGACTTGCGAGGTGCAGCACGTCCGTAAAGATTGCACTCCTAAACACCACCCCAATTTTAAACAGGCTCTCCGCATTCACACGGAAAGGACACAAAGTAGCCTTCTGGTTGATAACTTTTGCACTGAATGAGTTCATTCAAGTTGTAGTATACGTGATAACATAGGTCAGTGGGATCATTGTATTAATTTAAACACACCCTCTGTTTCCTGTCAGTGTAATTGAATTTCTGCGATTCTTTCTAACATCGACTTTTTCTTGGCACTATCGTTTAGCTGCGACACAAGACGGTTGCCGAGTTGGTGCATTTCTACTACCTCTGGAAGAAAACTGCCCGCCATGACGAATTCATTCGTTTGTACAGACGTGAAAAGAAGAAACCTCTCCACCCGGGGATAACGTGAGTCCATTAACCTCATGAGTCTAAACTCACGCGATATGCTGATTGCAATTAGTTGCTTTGAGTGCTTTCGTGCAGGGGGGGACGTTTTAGGTGACATAGTTTGGTGTTTTAGTCATTAAGCTGTCCAATAAGGAATCCACAATGCTGTTTCCAGTCGGTCAAGATGACGGACAATAATATGGTTAGAGGGTTTTGGTCCTACTGCATGTTTTCTAAAATAGTTTGACTGCTCACAGGTCCCAACATTCTAAAAGCTATAATAGATGAATGCATCGTTAGTGCACCACTCTACGTGGCAGATTGTCAGAATTAACTGCCATGCTGTCATTGTACAACCGACAGTCGGCATTCACAATCACGCCTCTTCAAGTGAGGTAGCTGCAGCCGTCTGAGCGTGCAAGTGAGCATGTCATTCAACAACCAAACTCAAACTCCTCGTGGTGTGATTTTCCACTGGCCTGCTAAGACGAAGGCTGCAACGTTGGGAAGATGTGGTGAGGATAACACTGGTCTGGCCTAAATTACCAATTAAGTGAACTGACCACGTTTTGAGAGTGTCTGACCTGACCCTGGAAATAGCAGCACAAGATGATTTCATCCTCAGCTCCCGTCAATTAGTTGTAAGCACTTCGCTCGTGTAGATCGGTAACACTAACCGGAGCCCTAGACACAACGTGACTCGGCATCAGATGTCTCCGAAGGTGTTTTTAGCACTGTTGATGCATTAGTCGAGAAGGGTTGAGTTGCACTGAGAAAAGTCTTTTTCCAAGGGGAGTATCGTCACTTGAGGACACTGCAGGGGTATAGTTAGTGCTCCAAGTGAATACCAGCAAGTTGGTTGCCGTTTGCAAATGTTTACTCAGTCTGGAGAACCCTGCAAAGCATAATTCCCGAGTCCTTTCACTACACCAGAGAGGGCTGTGTCGCTGTGGTGGAAACGGGTTTCGCAGTGCAGCTGCTCTTGTCACTTTTTGGTTGAATCATCGCGCGAGAGCTTGCAAAACCGCATTACAGGGGCTTAGTGTGTTTCCTTCTAGAAAACGTGAGCGAGATGCACTCATTCGGTGTCCCCAGAACCCATGGTCACAACTTTCCAAACTGACCTGCGTCACTTGAGTCAGCTTAGTGTGCTCAAATACTTTGATGAGGCTAGTCATGAACAACTCTGCTTCCCAGGTCGAAAAGACCGAATCACGCATCACAGCTGGTCACAATTTTGCCTAGAATTTCAAAGGTGGTTCTAATCTGCTTTGAAATTTCAGGGATACGTCCTCACTAATTGTCCTGTGAGATTACCGGGTGTCTGTTAAAATACGCCATTCAACAACATTTTTCAACTTTACCTAGGATAGAGGTAACGAACCCATTTGTTACCACCGTTGATCTTCTTTTGAACTGATCTAACTTATTTTTGCCCACGCACAATCCCCAACATTTTCGAAAAGCAGATATCACCGTAAGCTTTGTGCATCGCTTCAGTGAGTTGATTTTCGCTGATATATAACCTAGTGAAAATTTTGATTCCGCTCTAAAGGTGGACATTCGAATGCGTTTTTGATAAGCAGCGAAGATACCATTTCGACGACCACACTCTGGATACTTAATTCAAAATGCCTTACAACGCAGAATGACACAGAAAGGATGATGTGTAAACAAATTCAGATACCTATGCTGACAGTGGGCTACATTGTCGCCAGAATCTTTGCAGGTTTAATTTTGTATCTTCACTGTGCGAAAATTGAAGGCTAAACAAGTGAATGCTCGCAGGATGCGCAAGACAAGCTAATGGGCATCACGGAGGTGACGTCTCCAGAAACAGGAACCGGTCAATTGCCAGGAAGTGGATGTATGCCGCGAGTGCCACAAAGCAGTGCCAAATAGCGTGGGCCATCGGGATAACGCCGTCCATCTTGAAGAAGACTGCGCCTAAGATGTAGACTAAGCCTCCCGCACCAACTTTGTGTAACCCCGTGGAGTCGACCTGAAATGAAATTACACTGGCATTTGAACGGGAAAGAGAATGCTTTTAATTGGTGGGCACGCAAAATACATTGGCGAAGACATTTTATGAGCTAGGCCGACTGCGCAACTGCCTAAGATATTTAGATGCTTTAAACACCAACGCAAAAGGCTTAAACAGGAACAATTCATGTGGAACAGAAACAAGGGGCCGTCGGAGCATGGGAAAGACCTGACCTGTCAATTCAAGCCAAATGGCACCATGGACATACAGTAAACAGCGACTTTTTGCTGCGAGAGAAATCAAGGAAAGAGCGTTTGTATGGAGGTTTGACGAGTCGGTAGAAGAGCTCGTTAACCAACTTCGTACTTATGGTCAGAGGAAGAAAACACATGAACGCGAAACATGGTTTGAATGGTTCATCAAATTGCCGCAAGCGTCGACGACTATTGCGCAAACAAAATGCTGTGGCGTAGAGAAACATGGAAAATACCCACTGACCAGTAAGATCATACTTTTGATCAAAGTCAGATTTCGTCTGGAAGTGAGGATGCTGGGATTGCTTGTACTGATGTCCAATTCGGCCTTTTCAACCGAAATTAAGGTGCAATCCCCTCACCGAATACCACGCAAGTGCGTAGGCTGGTCTTAGAAAAATGTTGGAATATTTTTGACGTTCATACGCAAAAGGTATCACACACTACCCTCTCACCAATCAGTTACAACTCCTAAGTATCTAAAATCACCCTTGTATAGTTGGAAACTAGACCAGTGGAATTCGGATGATCTGCTACTTCGAACTGGCTCAGCACAATGCCTGACTACTAAGTGATAATTTGTCACCGGTTTGCAGAGAATGTTTCCCCCTTAAATATCTCACATGTTGAATTTTTTGCTGAGAGTTAATGCCTTCTTCTTGGCATGCCTTTGTTGCTGTAATTGCATTGAAAAGACTGCAACGCTTCTGCATGGATTGTGATGACGGATACTAAGCAACTGCCTCCAGCATCGCTAGAGTTGGTGTACACCTTGAATATCGACTAAGTGAACAGTAAATTAGATGCGTAGGAAAATATGGCAAGACACCCCTTGGTAGATTTGTAAACAGTATTAATCATTGCGCCCGCGATAAACATCCACTCCCGCCATGTTTGAAAAGGGATAGCGCTGACGTGTGCGTGCTCCTGATTACGTGCGAGTTAACTAGTCTGACTTGGTGACCAAATACGCCATTCGGATGCTACCACGAGGATGCTAGTGGCCAGATTTGAAGTTTGGACTTGCTAAAATGAAACAGACAACTTAGGAAAGGCGATAATTCAGAAACCTAGCGCGTAGACGTATACACGTGAGAATTCATTTCAATAACCAGCAGTTGGTGCTTTGATGTTCTCCCAGTAATGCAGTTAACGTAGTGATGAATCATGTTGGGGTTAGATTTGTGAGGTCAGAACAATGTCGGATAGGGCTAACACTGAAATGAAGAACTTGATTTTCGTTTAGACAATTTAAAAATGATGCTTTTGGCAACAAGCTAGTTCGATGGTAGATAATATGATTGTTTTAAGTAATGACAGGCAGGTAAGTAAATAGGTGAGGTTAAAAATTTAATGTTGATTTCCTGAGATGATAAAATCTGGTATAAATACAAAACTGCGTTGATGGTGATGTTTTTTTGTAAAGTGAGGCACTCGGACACGGGTGCATTAATCGCCCATAGGTGTTTGCTTGTAAAACTGGGAAATGAAGTGAACAGGAAGATCAAATGAATACGTAATATCTGCTCTGCATCACCAACTGATGCCGTAAGATGCAACTGCATCATGTTTCAGTGTTACTGGATGTCTATTGACGGCAGTAAAAGCTTGGAAAATCATTTTTACGAATTGTCCGGGTTGAAGAGCGGTCATTGTGGAGGTCCGATACGGGTCTCAAGCCACACCGGAGCCGCCAGGCGGCCCAGACGCAGACCGACCACGAAGGAGGGAGAAGGCTGCAGACAGTGCAAGGGTCAACCGTTTAATGACGGCGATAAGAGGCTCGCCCTTTTGCGTGAAAAGGCGTCAGTATACATAAGGCAGCCTGACAGTTAATTCGCTGAACAACCTTCACTGTGTGAGGTATAAAGAGAAATTAAATAATAGAATTCAAGGTGGGTTGAAGTGGTTGACGGGTGGCATAGTGAACGTAGATAAAAACGTAGATGCACGAGGATCGAGCCATTGGAGTGCTTGAAACAGCGGACAATGAACAAGGTCAAGTGGATTTTATTTTGTCCATTGTCTCCCGTAAATGACCGATGTAGTTTCCTGGATCCTACCATAACGGCTGGGATGTTACATGTAACGACAGTCCAAACAATTTCATTGTAATTCCGAACTCATCCCTGCAGATCAACAACCTAGGTTTTCCTTAGTGGCTGATCTAGGCCCGAGCGGTACCAGGGGTAACACTTCCGTTCAAAGAGGTGGATCGCTGTGAGCTGTAAATGCGGCATTCAGTTGCCGGTGAAGGCGTTCCACTATGCCATTTCATTGATGATGGGTGGTCGTTCGAATGCGGTTGGTTCCCAGAAGCCACGTGAAATTTGGAAGACTTGAACTGGGTTCCTCGGTCTGTGGTGATAATGGAGGGACATCAAGACAACTATTCTGTCTACAAGCGATTTTGCGCAGACGGAAATCGGTAATATGCGCTATTCGCCACCGATCATCGCCATAACCATGGCAATAAAGACAATGAATTTGCAAGTTTCGTCAGTGCACTCAGAACACTTGGCAGTGGAGGAAAAATGGTCCTAACCAATGAGAGTCGTTTAGGAGCAGTAGTAGTGTAAAGCCTTAAGCCAATTTGAACAGAGTGGTAAAAGATGCGTCACCAGTCAATAGGAAGGAGCTTACCATATAGACCACAGAAATCGCTGGAAGAATGCCAACAGCCAGATAAAGTGAGAGGCTAAGCAGCTTCCACCTAGAAGTAGAAAACCAAGGCTTTTAAGACATGTTCCCTAAAGCACATGGGAACGAAAGCAATTAAAATATGGTTAATCCCTGATAAATGGTAGTATAAACTCAAGCGAATATGCATTGACAAGCAGTTGAACAAATTGCTTCCCAGTGAGTACGAACATCTAAGGATAATTGAATAGATGAAAACATTACACAAATTCATGCACTTAGGCAACAACTAGGATGCAATACATAGATTTTTTTGCTCGTTTTCATCCAAGTAGTGGTTCAAGTATAGTATTTAGAGCAGAACCCAAAAAGTAGTCATTTTTTTTAAAATTGTGAGCACAGAAATACGGTTTAAACTGAAGTGGGAAAAAGGTAATCATTAGCTGCAGTTTTATAACCTAACACCCACTTGAATGAGACCGGCTTAAAAAATAATCAGAGTTGGCGACACACAGTATTTATAAAAACAAATAAGCTGTTGGAACTTGCTTACTTCTCGCGGAAAAACAGCTGGTATACGGCGCCGCATAACGCAGTGGTCCAAACCACTTTCAACATCAGAATCCCTATGTCTGTCTTGAACTCACGCAATAGGAGCCTGAAATCTCAAAAGAGAGAACAAATAGAATCTCAATGACAAAAGAGCGATTAACTATCTACCACAGTGGCAACATTCTTAGTATGCATAAGACTTTTCTACAACACAGTGCCATTACCACCCGATGTTTGCTTTAAGTGATGACAATTGATGCCTTATGCAACAGTTGCCATCCTCCTGCGGTGAAAAGTTAACCCGACCAGTGGCTTATCAACGGCTCATCTCAAAAACTGCCCATGAAGGTACTTGAAATGTCTGAGTTGTTAAACTTCAACTCTTGGCAACCACAGTGACGTTTCTACATGACGTGCAGCATGAGATTATTGGCCACGCCATAAGTAGATTCTGTGGCGCAGTTCCTGCAAAAAATGTTCCCATGTCGGTTACAAAGTCGAACTCCACTTATGTTAACCGACGTACAGTCAGTGAGCACGCAATTACAGGGGCGTGGTGTCGGCATCGGATTTTCTGAATGCTATACAAAAATCGGCCTGGAGTGAAAGAGTGGGAGTTAGTTCAGATGACTACCTTTGGGATTTTGGTTAAAAAACGTCAAAAATTACTATGCTTATCTTTAATCATCCCTTGTTTTAATTCTGATTCTTGCTGAGCACCGCTTACTATTTGCGCCGTTTGAACTTGACAAAAGCGAACGACACAAATAAGTTGTCGGAAGTTCTGAATTGCCTTTTCTTCTGCGGGGGTTCGGTGCGTCTGGTCCGGCTTGGAAGTGGGGTTTGCTGTAAACTTTACTTACAAAACACATGAGTTTAAATTCATTGTGGTCACGTCATTAAACTACCGCGAATTAATTAGGTGTCGAGATTCCGAGGCTACTCTCTCTCTGGTAAAAATAAAGAGCTTCTGACAAGGGATTCCTGACATCCGAGCAGGACAGCCAAGCATGGCACGGAAAAATGATCAGCGGATACGAAAATATCAGGTGACAAATCAAAACAACAAATCCAAAAAATGACAAATAATGAGATCAAGGGAAAAACGAAGCTAATATACAAGTGTAAAATTTAACTTATTAGTTAAATTGTTTGACAGAAGTGATTGCAAAGTAAATTGATTTATAAACCAACCAAGGAGTGTAGGACGCCGCAATGAACACGAAGATGACTGTCCGATCCAAATAATGCAATAGATTGTAATACCGGCTGAAAAGAGGAACAAACGGTGAAAACCAATACAGCACATAATGAAGCTCGACGAACCCAAAAAATTAAATAAAACAACATGCTGGCAATGTTTGGGTAACATGAGCCTAATTATTAAATTCTGAAATTAAAACAACTGGTTCCAATACGGACATTTTCGTTAAATTCACCGGATGTTTACACAGGCAAGGTTCCGTGAACTTTAAAATTGCATGCGAGAATAACACAATTATCCCATAATCATAGGGAAAACAAGTAAAAAAATTAAAAATCAACAAGATAGGGCGGGTGTTTTTTTCAAGAAGATTAACTTTATTCAAGAGAAAATAACGCTTTAATTTCACCACCTATGCTTTCGTTAAATTGCTCCATTCAGGTAAAAAATCCTACATACCTCTTCGAAGTAAGCAGTGTACAACAGTGGAATGTCGTTGAAGCTCCAAACATTGAAACTAGAGAAACACCGTAGATACACGCGACAAGAAATTGGGTTGGATTGGTTGCCTTGCTGAATAGAGAATTGGCAAAACAGGCGCTGAGAGGAACCCAGGGCAGATGAGTTACGAAATTGGCAACTTTCTCAATTGTGGTTGGTGAGTAGTGCGAACCTTCTGTGGGGCGCGGATTCTTCCACCTTCAAACAAACAATATCAGTTTTTTTAAGGAGCTAAGGTGGAGCAATTAAATAAAATTAGTACAGATTCCGTTTTGTTGAGAGCGCTGGTTTGGGTGGTATAAAGTGAAATTGAGAGAAAGGTGGAGCACCTGGCTCAGAAATTAGAAATTTGATTAAGCACCTTGTGTGCCCTTTGTTAATTGAATGAGCATAATGCTGAAATACATTTCTATTCACTTAAATCGCAAAATATTATTGATTGTAAAGTGAAAAGGAGTGGCTAGGATAAAAGGGTGAAGGATGGACAACTCAGATCGGCACTTCGTCTTGAGAAAAGCAAATAAACGACTTTTAAGATCCCAAAGACTATAAAAAGTGATCAAACACTTTAACCTGCTCTATTAGATAAGAAATGTGAAAACAAGTGCGAGTAGTGACTGATTCGATGGATAGTGTTATGAACAAACGCACCATCTGGACAAAATCAGTATAAAAACTAAGTGCAAACCATGATAAACCCAAAAACCCGTAGCCAAAAGTAACAGCAATTTGTCTGTTGAAGTATTAGAAAGATTTCAACTTCGGGAGCATGAGTCATCACGCAATACGCAGAAAATTGGAAGACAGACAGCGAGATAAATTACACGCCTGCTTCTCCAATAACTTTGAAGACTTAGGTCTAGGTCATCTTTGTAATTACGTACGTAGTAAGAAAAATCATGACACGTGAGTTTACAAACCCAGTCTCAAACAAGGAATGAGATAGTAAACACAGCACAAAATGAAACCAAGCTGCAAAAACCACATTTCACAACGCTGATGCCAATTAAAAAGTGCAATAAATCGAATGTCGAAAAGTGAATTAATTATCCTTTATGAAAAAAAAATTTAACACGGTGAAACAAAGAGAACTTGCATTTCCACGATTTTCCGAAGTACGCAAAACTCGAGTATCCAAACCACAATTGGGCGGGGGTAATCAGGTCGATGTTTTTACTTAATACAAACAAATTCAGCCCTGAGGATTTCTTGGGTAGACGAAGTATTTATTGATGAATCAGGATGCTAAAAATTAATCAGTATATATGATAAGTACCATTAACCTTTAGGCCATGCATAGAAAAAAAAGGCAAATGGATCCCAAATGTGTAGATCAAGTGAGCCATCTTGATCTACACAACGTTCCAAAATAAAATTTCTGTCACAAATTGTCAGCAGACTTAGATAATTTTTGTAAAAAGGCCAACGTTTGTTGGCAAAATTGCCAAACATTTTTGTTGATTGTGCACTGGCAAACAATTTTAAGCCGAATCGAGTTGTTATTACGTAAAAGTTGACAAAACGGATTTGAAAATTTTCGCTTTGATCTCTGAGGTAACTTGCACTTAATGATCAATGTGGTCAAAATAATCTTATTTTGACATCATCTGAGACATCCATGTTGGCAGTGCGATCTCTCTTAATCTATACCATCGCATCATTTTTTTCTCGTCAGTTTCCCGTCTAATTTACAAGCTATTCAGACACACGCTAACAAAGAAATGGGAGTGCTTTAAGTGTTTTAATATGACTGGCTTGAATAAATTAATTGGTACCAACGATAATAACCATTTTGTAATGTAAGCCTAAAGGAATATCATTAATGCCAGCACCCTCGTCTAGAAGTTACTGTGATAACTACTACAATATCATTTTTTTTTAAATTTTTAAAGTGGGAATCAAAGTGTCTAGCTGAGATTTATTGACACTTCTTTGTCACATAATAACTCCGTTTTATTAAAAAAATATTTTACAGTTACATCTATGGTCATAATCTTTTCTTGATTCACGAACGTAAATGCACGCACTAAGCCATTAAACATAAGCCTATGTTCGAATCTGATTTATTTAACCCTTTGCATCGATAAAATCAGTGCATTAAAGTGTGAATTTTTGAACGTTTATTTAAAAATAAACAAACAACAGGTCACGAAACCAAATGACATTGTAGATTAAAAATTCGTTATTAATATACTCACAGTTCCTACATCAAAACACGTGGTTAAGTTTGATACATTAATTGTGAGAATTAATTTTTTTATAACTTGTTTTACTTTGCTAGTTTCGTCGGATCACGATTAAAATAATTTACTGTCAGATGATCCGCAAAACAAGATTGTAGGATACCGTGTGTTGTTCGTCGATTCCGGCAAGCATGTTTGTGTTAAGGCCGTTATTATTTACAAAGGTTTCTCCACTATTTGAATATTTATGAAATCCACCTTTCTACAAATTTACCTATCAAGATTACAAAGTAATGTAAGCTAGATTTCGTATAAAGATTGAAACCTAATAAATACAATAGAAGAGATCTAAATGTTGATGGTACCGTCTAACCCACATGGTTACCTCTTAATCAGATGTGCCGAAGAAGGATTTTAAGAAAAGGTCATTTTAATCGATGGTAGAATGATGATTTGAGAATAGCACAAGACAATTACATATCTGACACATTTATTTGAAAATGTAGAGCTAAATGCGGTCGAACACAGTGCCGTATTAAGAGCTGAATTTCGTTTGAAAACTTCAAAAATAATCTTTACTCTTAAAAATTAGGGCAAAATATAAATAATGCTGCAACTTTTAAAAAGTGCCTTAAAATATGCCCTTAGATGAAGTTCAACCAAAAAATGAGTAACGGAGTGGCGATCCTAACGCAGATTAATTTTTCCTTCAAACATATTTTTTATGAAAAGGTAAAAAGAGTTGTTAAGAGACTTGTTAGGGCACTGCAATTCATGTGGAATAAAGGAGCTTTTGCAAAACAAAACAAAATAAATAAGGAAAATCTATCAAATAAATGTGCAAACAGGCAATACGACAGTGAGACAACTTTTTGGACGATTGATCATTCACTTTATTCTTGTTTTTCCCTCTGCAAAGAAGGTCACTGAACAGACAGATACGTAACCTTTCTACTATATAGCATTATTGGTAGTCTAGGAGCTGCAGCTTTATAAATCCTGAATAAATTTAAAATATGCTGGACAGGACTGCCAATCATCTCGCGGTTGTGTTTTTTACGGATGCAAAGAACCTCAACACGCCCCAATTCAACACTTTTGGTGGTGATTTTACCCTGAAAACAGAAATTTGGAATGGTAAAATTGATAAATACATTTATTCTTTACGGACTGCCGTATTAAAGGATGATTCGAATCTGTCTTTTAATCAGGTTTTGATAGGCAAATGTTATTAACAAATAAGGATGGTTTGGAATCTGTGCTCATCCAAGTTGGTAATTTAGTGCCTGAAAGTGTATTATTGCAAGTAAAAAAGTGGTGTGCAAATACCTGAGACAATCCGTTAATGCTTTATGGTGCTGTAGTCAACGCAAACACCGTCAATCCAAGGAAAATCATGAAGGCTTATAGAAAACACTGTCAAAGGGATGGAAAACTAGCCCAATATGGCTCTCAGAAACTGCTGGAGACGATTAAGAGGATTAGGATTCGGTGATTGAAACTTCTTGCAAATATTCGAAAAAAAAGAAGAGAAAAGAAATGTGAACAAGCCTCAAATTTGACTGTAAATGCTATTGTCGTCCTCAGAACAAAGTACATCGGCATTTTAAAATGCCATGAATATGGAAAACTCCGAAATAAGTGATAATGTGAGGCAGATCTTATGCCTCGTTTGCTTTCTGCATTTATGCTAGCGCCTGTAACCTCTGAACGAATTGCGTGTCACTTAGAAAAATAGACTAAAAGGCCTCAATGATGAATGCATAAAATTGCTTTTACTTTTTTAAAAAACTGCGTGTTCTTCTTAAACGGCTTCTTTAGCAAAAGATAAACAAGTTTAAGTTAAAATAAAGCGTTGGAAGGAAATGAATGCTTAGTTATCCTGCTCAAATTAGGGCCTCTTTCCGGACCGGCTCACTGTTATTTATACATATTTTCCCTATATCGATTACCGATTCCCTAATTGTGACTCGATCTGTGTGTTGTAGTATTTTTTTTTACCCTTACTAATATCTGCTTTCAAGTTGTTGTTTGAACGAGCAGTATTCATGTTGAACTGTTGTTTAATTTGTGCAAAGCTAATTTGCTGTAAACATTTTGAAACCGTCTAACTAGCTAATTTTTCTTTCTGGTTTCGGAGTGGTTCTCCATCTTAGCATCGCTGCTGTCTTAAATTTTATTGTTAACCGATTGGCCAGGCTAGATGAGTTGGCCGAGTTACAGGCGCCACATATAAGATATATTAACACAGCACCTATTCAATGAATTAAAGATGTTTTGAATTCATGTTAAGCTAATACGAAGCATAACATTTGAAAAACCTAATTCAACTTGTGGCTTCAAAACTGAAACAGCTATGGTCTCGTTTTATGACACGAGTTCGTTGATCACGTAGTGAATGAGGGTTCGACACCACATTATATATGTTTTCAACACGCTATAGTTATTAATAAAAGAATTAACTTTAGTTTAACTGTTCTGTATTGCTGTAGTAAACATGTTTTCATTAAAAATCAGTCATAGTATTTTTTGACATCCCGACATTCCATTCATAGCGTCCCAAAAATCATACCCAAAGGCGTCTGTAAATATAAGTTTGGATAATTCCTTCATACCACTCGTGTCAATCATTGTTGCAAAAACCAGTTCACCCAAAACTAATTGAATTGCATTTCACACAAACGACGATTAAACAATATGGGTATGACATCTTTCCCCCCCCCCCCATCGACCTAAATTATTCCTAAAATTACGATCTTCACATTCATTTTTATTTTAGATTTTGATAAGGAATCAAAATATATCATTTAAGCATTTTAAAACCACGTTTATTTTTATGCACAGAGAATTTACCAGTTTCATGTTAGCATTTTCTTTCAAATTAACTGTTGGCAAAATGTACCTCCTGTAAAATGTAACCTTTTAATAATCAGACCAAAAAACCGAGCACTGTTAATTTGGAAAACACTAAAAGTTTTGTTCTGGTATTGGTAGTTGAAATTTGGAATTGATTTTTTGCAAATTATCGGTTCGACTTTTCCATTAATCTCCAACAATTCCAAGCTAGCTACTGGAGATAATGAAATCTTGCTTGAGGTGTTTAACATATTTTAGGCTTTTTAAGTACTCTTGTATGTCGTATCTTTCTAAAAATTAGAATTATTTTGTAAGCTAAGTTTTCGACTAAAAGTTTAAATTGAGTGTTCTAACCGACTAGATAGCCCTTAAGGTCAGAGCGCTGAACTGAAATCGGTATGTATGATGTAATTTTATCTAACTACTGAAGAAAATTCGTTGACTCCTAGTTACCGAAATTCTAATAGTTGTAGGTTAGGTTTTTTTAAAATAAAATTTTGTCAGGGCTAGATTTTTTGTCTTTTATTCACATTGTATATGGAAAACTGCTTTTTTAGAATACATATGTAATTATCCAACATTTATTTGTTGGTTTTTTCGTGGTATTTTTTGGCATTTTCTACGTTTTATGTATCTGATGAATTTATAGTCCGTTTTTTGCATATTCTGAATACCCAAATTGTGGATATGGGACATGACCCACCCAGATATTACAGTCCCCCATCATTTCCACTGAGAGTTTCCCTGCCTTGTTTGTAGCGATGCAATAGCCTAGGGTGTCATTAGTACAAATAATAATTTCTTTGAAGATCTGCCTTTTTATGTATTTACTCTACATTTAATGTGTCTTGTATTCGTGTTATTGGTTATCTAATCCTTACACTGTCCACCTTTAAACTCGTTCATCGTCACGCACTACATCGCTTGCTATATTGGCTTTAAAAACTTTTTGATACCCCAATACCTTGCCTTTGATAAGGGACATACACAGTAAAACCCCTAGTACATTATAGGAATGCCAAACATTATTGGAATATAGAACTTAGCAGATTTTTCCCAAGTAGGTTATTTAAAGGAGCTTAGATCTGCCACTTCTTGATATCAGTTGCAATGCCTAAAATATAATATCACCATTGAAATAAACTCGATCTCTTGCTCAAAATAGGTGTTGGTTTGTGTTAGAGCCCCAGATGTCCATTTAATACCGTTTTTTATTAAGTTCATAATCCTACTGATTACTCTTAGGTCATTTTTTTATTTCGTGCTCCTTTTTTATGTAACATCATTTTTCTCCGAAAACTCTTATAATGCAATGAGTATTTGAGTTGTATTTTGGCTCGTCGGTAAGCGAATTTGTGTCGGGTCGGTCGCTCATGTAATTCATACTGCTCCACTTTCGTAAATTAAAATGACTTAAAGATGCCCCGTTAATCGGTTCAAAACTCTGTTGGTATCAGTGAATGCATGTTTTTTGCATAGTAGTGGGGCGATCATTCGTGGCAATTTTCTGATGTAGATTAGATTGTTGAGGTCTTCTGGTTTGCTCTTCTGTTTCCTGTCCTGTAGCCTGGACTAAGTGTTACTGTCCAAATTATTTTAGTGCTTAAAGTTATTGCATTCATATTTTTGGCCTGAGGGAAAGAGATTGGGGTATCTTCTAATAATTCGCATTTTATACCTCGAAAATTCATTACCTTACCTTAAACTGGTTTTAATTAGCCATCTTTTGTCAAAGCGTTGAATGTACTTTTGTAATTATTGTTTTTTCACACTTCTATGTACTGGATGGCGTAATAGCGTGTAGTGGCAATGTGGGCCAATTTCAGTTGACAAGTAAAAGCTGAAAAAATTAGTGAGTTTGCCCTGTCAGAAATACCTTAAGGTTACTTTCAGTTTTGCCACACACTTTCCGCTCGTGCTTATCGTGCTGTTATTGTTGTGTAAATTATTTGAAGCCGTTACCTTCAATCCTTAAAGTAAACGAAACCCTGTTCTATTATTTCCTTAATTTCAATGACGTGTTCGGGGTTCTTTCGTGATAACATGCCGTATCCTGACACAGTAACTATCCACTAAGTTTTTTTATTATACCTCACGCCGCGCACCCTATCTACTACAGTTTCATGTCGTTCAAAACATTGCTTAGTACTCTGTTTGTATTGATATCGTTACTTCATAGACATCGTTGCCGCGGCGCTACTTTATCGCTTTCTTTTAAGTATACCGCATAGAATCAGGGCTCACTGTTAACTTTATCAAGTGGCAATGAGTGAAGGAAATTTCAAGCATAATTTAAGTTGATATTCTTTATTATAGATGCTTCCCCCTGCCAACTTTCATCCGACCTTAAAACCAGCATACAGACGTTCAGAAGAAAGATCGGAACAGCTCCATCTTCCAGCGTCGCTTTTGCCAGTTAACTTTGCCCCGAATTCGTCCTCCGAAATAGCCAGCACTCTTCCCTTGGCTACGCCAGAGGACTCAGATATCGACTCCTCATCAGCCATTTCAACCAAGGTGAAGATTATACCGCTAGTTTGCCTTACTTTATCAATATACGTCACCTTGCTTTAATATTGGTTGTGCTTCAAATCCATCATTTTCTTGATTGTATATATGTGACAATGTCAGAATATTAAAGTAGTTGTTTTTACTTGTCGAAAATAATTGGTGTTCTGATTCGCACATTGAATCATCTGTTACAATACAAATTGTAAGTACACTTGAAACCCCCTACTGAAATCACAGATTACGTCTTATTGGATTAGATATTCATTGGAAATATCTTGTCTAAAATACGCACGCAGTTCCGTACTAGAGACGAAGACAAATTTAGCAGTAGTTTGGGTTCCTTGTTCGATGGTTGCTCATATTCGCTGATATTTTGTTAATAGATTTTTTGTAACTAGGATAACACAGATGGCGAGAGTAACCAGCCCTCCTCAACCAATACCGTTCTCCGAGTCAGTGGCCCTCTGTCGTCTCCAACACAGACAGTCGCTGTCGACCCGAACACAGCGCGAAGTTCAACAACACTTAGCGGGGCTCCCTCGATGTCGTCCTTTGTTCTGCCTTCTCATTATCGCGGTGCCAGTTTCGGGCGTCGAAGCACCTTTCCGAGGATGGATTCGGGTCAGATCAAGGGCGGTTTCGGCGCTTCGTTTCAGTCTATGCGAGTTCATCGGGTCAAACTACTTGACGAGCAGATACTGGAAATTCCACTCAAGGTACTTTACTGCGTTGTCTGCAAGTGTAAAGAACGAAGGTGCACCTTACTAGAGTTACAAAATAGGATGTGGATGCTTACTTTTCACTTTTCGCTTGGGTATATCATAGCTGATAAGCTCATTTTAAGCAACGGATTGACCATTAACGTCTATTTTATTAATGTGCACACTAGTTACTCTTTCGAATTAAGCTTAAGGTGCTTGTGTAATTAATAATCATTAAATGTTGTCTGTTCATTTGTGTAAAAACACGAAAGAACGTTGTGCAGTTGGCGTGTTTTTTTCTGTATCCAAAAGAAAAGTACTTTTTCGGGCTGTTTGACGCTTTCATTAATTTTGTTGCTTTTTTTTCATCGTGGTTTTGTTATCACTTGGGAAATAGATAGGCAAACAAGAGGGTGAAAAGACGGCACAGTCGTTAACGGACCTGCTATGCAATTAGGTGCCGCTGTGGTGCGTGTGCGTGGGCGAACCTCGCGAACAGTGTGGAAGCCTGTGAACAGTTTGGGCCGCTAGCTAGCTATCTTTAGGTAAACGTCTGTTCAGACAAGCCTCTAATGATTACTCTCTGTTGCACTTATTTGGGTCAATAATCGGACACACCGCGCACAACGCTATCGGGCGGAATGTGACGAGATCAAATCACGACCAACTGAATCTGATCGTTGCGTTCGATAATAGCTCTCAAACCTAATGATCATCTTAATATGGCCAGGTTCTCTTCCATTGTGAAAAGTCGAAAAGCAGTCCCAAAAGTTGAATAAGGGTGTTGCACAAACGCCACTGTTGTGTTCTGCCGATTCTTTTCTTTTTGTTATAATTTTATTCACTGTGGACCATGAGGGCAAAAGGTGCAACAGCTCAGTTCAACTATCAAAATCGGAATGCTGAAAGTGCTTGTCGGACCGTACATTAATGAGTCAGCTCGGGAAGCCTTTACCACCCACCTTACAACTAAATTACCGCCAATATTTGCCTGTGTATTTCCTCGCATTCGAACTCTTAAGACCAGTTTGCCTGTAGCTTGAGTCCAAAACTATCTTTCAGCACTAACTCATAACTTTCCTTGGGGACCACGTGAGGGCCTCAGAAGGGGTTCAAGTCAACTTTGTCGAATTAAATTTAGGTGTTTGTGTGTGTGCAATGGTAGAGCTCATGTACTATATTTGATTCATGAATCATTATCAAGGCACTAAGATGAGGTCAAATTCTTAAAAAGGCTAAAGCTGCTAAAATGTTATTTATTTCAACCAAAAACATAAGTACTTGTCTAATTATACTCGAGGTATGTATCTTCCACATATTTGCTTGTACACGTAGGCACTAGATGTTATAAGGGAACGAAGTTTACGTCAACAGAAACACCATTAACGAGAATTTACGGCCATTATTTCTTGGATTGGATTACACTTCAGCACCCAGTTTCCTTGCCCAAAAACAGCCTAACGAAATGTTGCACTGTTTGCCTTGTGACAAGTCATGTGGTGCTTGCAACCCCTTCCAATTTCTCTGATCACTTTTATCTGCCGTCGTAACTGTTCTTGCGCCTTCCCTACATGGCATAATGCAAGAATAAAAGTAGACATCTGAGTCAGCATTCTAATACTGAGTTCGGAGTGTACTTTAAGCTTATTGGTGTACATTGGCGTAAGTTGGTTATGAAAGACTTTTGTGGTTGTTAGCGTCGATGCTGTTTACCTATTTTGCACTTGTTAGCGCTAGGTGAGTTCTTGCATGTAAAAAAGCTTACCTTCCCCTAATTTGCCTCAATATGCCAACCCAAGACAGTGATTAAAAGAAGTAAACCTCTTAGTGTCCTTCATAGCACCGATGCCAACCTGACCGCGTTAGTTTCCTCGATGTTCATATGATTCAGTCACTGGCGAAATAGTTATCTGTCAAAGCCATTCTCAAAATGTTGTCGGGTGTTTGATCTAAGCATTGCTATTTTTAAATAATTATCATTCCAAAACGTTTTCGTAGATAGAACCGAATTTTACTGCGTATAATTATAGTTTTGGTAATAATTGTGCAGGTAAATTCAGGTTAAAGATATTCCCAACATGCTTTTTCTAATATTTAGGTTTTTCCTCCTGTGACTCCTTTTGTGTAGTTTACATCTTACAGTTACCTTATTTCGATAATTGTAACTTTATAATGTAGCATAATGGAAGCAACGACGACGCCACAGAATATTTGGAAATTCTGGCTGTGTAGTTTACGCTTCTACTGTTGCCTAATGCTTATTTAAACACAAACAGGAAGGGTTTCGTTTCAAAAATGACGCGTCAAAACACTCCAAAACTGTCGGCTGGTCGGGATTAACTTTGTAGCATCTCAATATTGAGGCACTGGTGCCAGATCGTAGCCGCTCTGAAGCGTTTGTTCCGTAATTATCACTCTTAACGCAAACTCCGGCCTTGTTCTTGCGAACCTCGGGGCGTACGATTAGAGCCCGACAAGCTACTACCATTGCCAAACTTAATACACACGCACACTGCAACATTTTGTGTTATTGGTACTTTTGAATAGAATTTTATTCAAACACCTCAAACGCTACTTCAATGGCATTTGACATGTTTGTTGCCTCGTCTTACGCACCTAACGGCACTGGAACGGCGTCGGTCTATTCTCTCTCTTGGTTCTCGGGAAAGTCATCCAACTTATCCGGGCGTGATTTTCAAGCACATGCCGGACACACGTGCCAGTCCAGCTCCTACGACCATCGTGGTCACCCACCCTAGCGACTGATTGTTTTGAAACCAATTTTTGTCCCGTTACGATTCCGAACAGTATCCGAACTACTGAAAGTTTTGATCTATTGTTAATAATGTCACCAAACCTTTGCCTGATGTCGTGTGACAAAATCTGCATAGCTTGGAAGTCAGTGAGGTACAGGCCGTATGTAGGACACGTACTACTTTTCGAACATTGCCAATTGACTCCGAACGTTAATGAGTTGTACGATTTATTTACTCACCCAACGCCTGCATGATTACGCATTCTTTCTCTTCGAAAAGTGAGTTCAAAATGGTCCCAACCAAGGTCAGTTGAAGAGCCTGACCGGAGTTTGTTAGTAAGGCCGAATTTGTCATTTTTAAATAAGGAGAGCATTTTGTACGCCTCTCGGTTGGTAATGACGTTTTCTCGTCGATTGCACAAGCGCCTTGGCGGCGTCAAAATAAAAGGAAAATAAGTCTTCAAGAAAAACGTTGGTAGCGATCTTGCAGAGGGCGAAAGTTGCTTTCCATGCACACATGACGTGTCGTCTAACACAAGCGACATGGCCGAAAAAGTGAAAAATGAAACGACGTCGTCAAAACCTGTCTAAGGTTTTTCCTGACCTTTAAGCCCGTCGTAGCAGAAGCTCGGCATTGCAAACCGCCTGTGAGTTCATTTACGTAGATGTTTTTGTCGTTGCACAAATATTATGTCCTAACAATAGTACATGACTTTTTGCGCAGATGCGTTTTCTATTTTAATGACAAATGGCAAACCCAACGTTGAAATCGTCAAAATGCTACAATGCCAGGTTTTAAACGTTGATGCGAGGGGCAACTCTCATTAAGTATAACCAAAAAATACTTACAACATCAATTGCCCTTGTCTGTCGAAGGAGACGTTTGTGGCTCATTTAAGTGGCAGATATTTGTAACATTTCATCTGAAATTCCTGCTCTCGCTACCTAAACGCGTACACGCCTTGTAATATGCGGTTTTTTCTGTGAATTAAACTCTAAAAATCATCTTTAATGAGTCTGTTTTAATTCAGATGCTTATATTCTTTTAAATCTATATGGTTTGTAGAAATTAAGCATCAGAGAAAATTTTCAGAAATCATATTTCCCTAATCGCCATGATACCCAAATACATCCACGAAGACAGTTCAGCAGATTCGGTCTTCTCTTCTATTTTCCTTCATTAGTTAAGTAATTTCACAGTGAATTGCTTCCTTTTATGTAATCCGTGACTCTACCCATAGTTACATCAACTATTGTGCCGTAAGTTTGTAAAAAAACACATTGTTTTCTACGGAATCTACTTGTTCATTTGCAATCGAGTGTTAATGACCCGGGTTCCCACACCCCACGCCCTTCACGACCCTGGCCTGTGTGTGTGCGTGTTTCACACGCGTGCATCTGTAATTCATTTTATTAACTACCAGGGGGTTTGCTTTTTAATGACCTACTCACTTAAAGGTACTCGGAGTCCAAAAAACTCGGGTTGTTTTAATGTCTTTTTAACTCAAGCTAAAAACTGGTCTTATTTTGTCACAAGGTCGGTGCAAGTAATCCTCAACGTAGTTTACTTTTGCGAGTCCTCCAACGCTTAAGCTAGTAAACGCGGAATCCCGCTGCCCTTACTCTTTTTGCAAACTCTTCTGGACCATGTAACATCGATTTCTTACTATTTATACCTTCTCTACAATTTCTTGCCCGTTGTGAAATGGCATCACAATAGGTGTTGAGTGTGCGCGTAGATCGACTACTGTCCTTGGCTTGCCAAATTAGTTTATCGCTCGGTACACCGGAAAAGAATCAACCGTTCGATTCATTCAATCGCATATTTTGGTCCTATACGAGAAATTTGCCTCTTGAGCAACTCAAAGTACCTTCAACTAGTTGTCGGGTTCGTTTTAATTTAAATGAGGTGGTTTGTGTGTGATCAAACTCTATTGCTGCATATTTTTGTTTCACATCATGGTACAGAATTGCTCTTATTATTATCTTTAGCAATGAATAAGATTGTTTTAAACTTGTAATAATGTGTGTTGTATGCTGTCAATCACGCGCTCGAATTCGCCACTTTTACCCCATTTATTCCTCCTTGATTTGAGCTTATGGTGTTGATTTTAAGTGACAAATTGGACGTTCGTTTAGAGTGTGATCAAACTCTACTTTTGTATACTTTTGTCTTACCTCATGGTGCATGCTATTACTTTTAGCAATGAATAAGATTGTTTTAAAATTGTAATAATATGTGTTGCTTGTTGTCAATCACGAGCCCAAATTAGCCACGTTTGTTCTATTCATTACTATTTGATTTGAAGTTATGGTGTTGTTGATTTTAAGAAAGAAAACCACTATTTTTTTCGATGTTCTGTTTTTTAAACGTGCACAAACAACCATGTATGTGGAAGTAACCTGTTCAATCCCTCGGTGGTTGACTTATTGATCGGCCAAGGGCGCCTTGTCTAATTATGCATTTAAACCTGTATTAATAAGATGTATTTTTTTGTAGAAATCTGCAACTGGGGCGGACCTCTTTCGTGAGGTGTGCCAGGCGTTGAATCTCCAGGAAAGGGACTTCTTTGGCCTCTACTTCTACAAGCACGGCGGTGCCGACGCTATCGCCCACCTGAGCACCACGACCAGCCGGCCCTTCCGGCTAACTGGAGGCCCCACTCCCCGACGGATGCCCTGGCAAGTGGATTCCGCCGAGGCGTGTGCAGTCCACCATCGCGGGGTTTCGGCAAGTTTATTCCGCTTTTTTTATTGTTTTTTGTTCCGGAATTGCGCATTTGGTGACAATTGAATCAATCACAACCTGACCTATTTAAGCGAGGCCACTCGCCTTAAGAGGAGTAATTATTGTGCCTCAAATTTAATTTCTATTTACTGACAGTCTAATTGAACTGTGACGTGGCGTTGAGGACTTTTGCCACAGTACTCTACTTGATACCGACCGCCTTGCTGTATAACAACTTAACCTTACAGAGCTCTTTTTTGGAAGACAATCAGCTGCTTCTGAGTCTATGAACAGTGGAGTAAACAGCTATTATATGATTGATTCTATCTTGTTGGTTATAGTGCTAGTGATTCCTTCGCTTTTGTTCTATGAACGCCTTGTTACCATGACGACCTGAATTTAAAACCTGAATTTACCAGTGAGAAATGAAATCGTGTTGAAGGTCGTTTTTGTATAAATTGTGGTAAATTGCTCCTTGTCATTTTACCCCTTAACTATTTGAATGTTAAACTTACGTCATTGTTTCATTCGCTTATCCATAATTTTCAGTTTTGGCTAAAAATGGACCGGAAAATTGGGGATCAGTGTAAAAGTAAGTCTGCTTCATATTTTTAAAAATCTTTTTTCTTGCGCATGTAATCCACTTTCGGCCAATTAGATGTAACATTATTCGCCTCATTCATTAAATATTTGGGTCAACGCAGGGCGAGGCCTCGATGATGCTGGTCACCTGGGGTTATTCGCCTCCTTTTATTGACTCTAGGGCAAATTTGCTACTTTATTCCCTCTTGGTCAAAAACAGCACACAGTCCTGTATGCTGGTCACCAATTTCTTAGCCTGTCTCTTTTCCGCGTGCACATCCATCGTATTACGACTCGCTTTATTTAAAAAGTGATGTCGACCTTTACAGTCGGTGTTGCCACATGCTTGATCCAGTGAGAAGATACGCATTTTGGCTTCGTAATTCCACGTATGAAAAGAAATGCGTCGGCTATTTTTTTGGACAAGTTAACCCAACGTTGGCTCAGTCACCCTCACACAGTTTCTTCATCGTCAGTGTATAGTAGCAAAGCCTGTCTCTCTAAATGTTATTTTATTTGAGATTTGTGCTTTACGGACCGAAATATTCAAACACCCACGTCGCCCACACACACGAAATTTTTGTCCCAATTTATTCGTCCTCACATCCGGTTTTGCTGTCTCACAAAACGGCTCTTATGCTTGGTATTGTTGTTGAGCTGTGTGCATAGATGACCATAGGCGAATCCTTAATGTGTTATTTTGCTCAATCACCTCAATTTGTAAAACACAATGCAAACCTCACCAACGTTTTTCTTGTTCCTCTCCTCTGCTACCTTTCCAGTAACAATACGAATGTATCGTGCTTCCTGTGGAGAGAATCCTGTGTGCCTTACTCGACATTTTCAAATTTGATTCCGTGAAGGGGGCTTACACTGTTAAAAAAATCCTCTTTTTAAGTATCAAGTAATTGGCATCAATGTAATTCGTCATTTTCGGTAAATCAGTGTAGCATATTAATGCTGGTTTTCTGTGAGCATGGTTTAACCCGTTTATTTTTTATTCAAAAGGCGATATTTTTATCACTTACTCAATTGCATTTACCTTAAGTTGTTTCTCTAATTTCTAGTATTCGGTACAATATTATATTTAATCACTTCTCTCGTGTCATGTAACGAACATAACCCTCGTTTAGGATGTCATTGTTGTAACAATTTCTACTTTAAGAGGATTTAATCCCTATTTTCAGTATCAGGCCACCTTATCTCCTCACATGAAATTGTGGTCATCTTGTGACTGTTAATATTTCAATTCAAATACACTTGTCAATCTGTAACCCGATTTGACAAAACTCTAATTACGTTGCCTTTAAATGCTTATTTTATCATCAGCGTCACTAACATGTAGTCGTTTTTGTACTTCTGCTTCTTTTCGACTTAAATATAAGTAATCTTTTGATTACCGTGAACGCTCTTTGACTGATTCAACGACGTACACTAGGAACTAAACCGAAACTTGAGCTCTCTTTATGTAACACTGTATTAAACAACCGAAATTTATCCCCAACGTCCAAGCCACTGAAAAGTCCGTAATGAGAGCGTGTTTCAACACTTCGAAGTGTAGTGAATAAACAGGTAATAGTGTAAAGCCTTTGCCGATTATTTACTAGTAGTGTGATGGCGTTCCTTTGGTACTTGTTTCATGCAAATGCGAACTGACCCATAAACAAACACGCGAAGTCACATCTAAGGTGGTAATCGGTTATTGTGATGTTCTAGAAAATCGACAGCACTACAAGTTTTTCTTCCTCAATGTCCAGACAATGTCAAATGTAAGGGGATTTCCCCACCACAAATAATTTCAAGGTTATGCCATGTGTCAACTTTAATCTGGTCCTTCTAATTGGCCTTGTGACTTCCTCTTTAATAGTCGTGTATTGCTAACACTTTTATTTATTTAGAGAACTCGTGGTTTTGGTTCGGTGTACGCATTTACCCATCTAACCCGAGTGAAGGTAGCCTTGATGAATTGACACGCTACCTGCTGTGCCTCCAGTTACGACAAGATCTCATTTGTGGACGGTAGGTCTGGCCTTCCTATGCTCTCTCCTTGCGTCAGCTGGCTAACAGTTGCCTGTCACGCGTCGAATGTGTCATTGTGGTAGCCTTTTTTGTGTTGAGTCGCCGCTGTTAGTTGTTCAGCTGTTTTTACATCTTGTATCCTTCCCCATTTATTTTTTTGCCGTCGTCTCAGGTCCGTTGTCTCTCAATGGCTCCGAACGGTAGACGACCAGCATAACTCCGGTTTTCGGTGCATAAGGAAATTTTTTGCTTAAATTCGCCATTATTTTAATCTCACTCGTTTTTGTACTTTTCTAGAATCACTGCGCAAGTCTGGGTAGTTGATCAGTCGTTTCCGCTTCTATTTTTCAACTATTCATGTAGTTTGAACTGCAACTCCTTGAAATGAGGCTCATCGTGTTAGGTGAAGAACCTGGAGGTTGCGCAGTGTGCATAAGAGACTAATAAGGTTCTTTTCGAGCTCCGATTAAGGCATTAAGAGACAGATGAAAAGCCTGTTGACTGCCTCTAAATTGTACAAAAAGAGGTAGGTGATGCGTGGTGCTGTAAACCAGGTATATTTCCTGGTTGTCGCATTTTGAATCATTAACAGAAGAACACACCTTTGCACAATGTGTGGAGGCTGGCGTAACGCAACAGGCGCAATCCATAAGTGTCATTTGTATCCGGTAATTAAGGCCAACATCCGGACACCCTGGGAAGATAAAAAATTTTGGGTGCCAGTGGCCAGGTGGCAAACGAGGCGAATAGAGGCAGCGACTGTCGTTGATTTTCCAAACAAAAAAAATTGAAAACTACCTATTATAGTAAATGCATTTATCCACTCAAGGTGCTAGCTAGAACAGCATTACACTAAAATAATTTATCTTGAAATTTGTCAAAAATGCATATTTGTCAAAAAAAAACTCGGACTTGACGAGTTGGGTTTCTTTCAATACTCCGTTGAATATTGTCCGTCTTTCTGAAGAAGCATACGCTTTAGGTTGATGGTAAAGGACGTTGGAAGGTATGCAGATGTAAGCGGTTTGGCCACCAGTTGGGATGAGGCATCATTACTTGAGTTCTGCCGCGGCAGATGCGCTAATGATGCGTGCTTTAAGACGTTGCGGCCCTTAGCAATAAATGGCCGAGAAATGGCCCTGGCGCCTCGGAATCACAGGCAGTAGGCGTGTCTTTTCGACTGAACATTCCAAGGATTTCTCATCCAAACTGTTTGCGAGGTTGCAATGCAACCCAGCCATTATTGACGCGCGTTGAATTCCTTCTGCGTTTCGCTGTATGTTTACTTGGGCGAAGGTAGTGGAAAATTGGTTGAAATGAATGTCTGTGCTCTACCAAGGTTAGCGAAAGTCTTTGAATTAACTGATTAAAGTAATCAAATTCAAAAACAGAAGAGGCGTTGACTTTAGTCAAAATTGAGTTCTTATAATAGAAATAAAAGATTGTTCATTCTGTCTTCGGACTTCCTGTAAATGGCCCAATTTTCCCCATTGCACAATCCTAAATTTTAAGGGTGTTCAACGTTTATATTTAACCCCACCGGGTTGTTTTAAATTACGCCTTTCAGCCAAGATTGGCCCACCTTTCTATTATGTTTATTAGTGTCCGATCGAGATGCCATAAGACTACATTTGATGTATTAATGGTTACTAACGCCTTGGGTTGGGAACTAAAACATCGTGCTGGATTTTTGTGCGGTGCGGTTATATTGCATTCATCATTTTGTCGAAGTTGGCGGTCAGTAAACTGAAGCTGTACAAAGTTAGTTTCGCCAGATTAACCTTGTAAAGAGCAAGATCTTGAAAGTCAAGTATGCCGTGCAACTTAGTTCTAGGTGTTGGTTTTGCCTTGTAACTAAGGTAAAGTGATCGATGCTTTCTTTTTTTTATTTTCAGTCTTGCATGTTCCTTCTTTACTCACGCCATGCTTGCAGCGTACTGGGTGCAGTCGGAGTTGGGTGACTGGGATCTCTACCAGAAATGCTGCAGCGCGTCGGAGGATGGCTCTGGCGGCACCGACTACCTCAACGCAATGCGCCTCGCGTCACCTGCCGGGGCTGATGTGATTGCGGCGGAGCGTGAGTGGATGACCTCCCGCACCGGTCCGCCACAGCCCCCTCCCCTCGTCCACACGAGTCCCTCCTTCCTGCGACAGGTAGCTCTGTTCCATCGGTTTTTGAAGTAAGTGTGGCCATACAAACCATTAACTTCCCTCGTATGGGTTTATGCCGTCTGGAATCCTGTACTTTATTTGTGATGTTGAATCGACTACCTCGAGAGACGGATTCCTGTGGCTGCTATGCTGATGCTTTGCTGTGCTGTAGCCACTGAAAATGCACTATTATCAGCGTGTTAATGTACGTGAACCTGACCTTACTCTATTACTTGATGCAGCAATTTATCATGCTCTGATAGCCAGCCATTTAACTGACCTGATTTTGAACTACTTCCCACAAGATGGCCTTTTTTGTACCATTACTGCACTCTTTAGTGAAGGGGATTTTCACAAATACAATACTATTTAATATTGACAGAACAGATTTGAAGTGCCGGTATTGTGATGAAAATTGAGCGAAAACTCTGCATGTTGTTTTCATATTTGTGGTATCGAACCACAGCCCAACTCTTGACTTAAGAGTGGTTTGTGTGCACGGAAGTAGGGAACTTGTAGAAATACTGTCTAACTAACGAAATTATCTTAGTGATCGCTTCGTTTCTAAAGCAGGACTGCCGACCGTATGCCTGCCCAGAATCAGCTGCGGTGAAGTGTTGTGGGGAGCATTTTGAATCGTCTGACCTGCTCATTACCGTTAACGCAAGCCACCATCCCACACTGTCGCACATGCCTACGCGTCAAGTCTTTGTTAAGGCAAGGATGATGCCACTTGCGATGTTGATTGTCTATATCAGAGGGTATCCTACCAAATATTTCGCGTGTTTATTTGCTCTGATGCAAATAAAATAGCAGTGCCATTTTAAATACTTTTTTGCTGTTAGCTTAACAATGTAACATTACTTTTAGATGTAACTTATTTTTTTTCGTGAGGCTTTGCGTGGGGTCGAGGGAAGCATCGAGATGAAGTTTGCTGTCGAATCTCACTGTGGCCAAAATGATATCAGTGAAAGGAGAAAAAGATAAATTAGGCGGAAAGCAAGATATCGCATCTTATGCAATTACTTACACACAAACACACACCTGAGGGAGGGTTGTTTTCTGGTCTTCAGTTCTTCCCAATGCGCATATCCATTATCCACTTTCCAAAGAGTTTCTTTGCATGAATTAATTTCCCACAGTGATGTTCTAAAAGTTTACACTCTATCGTTAGGTGATGTAGCGTGCAAAATGCGTTTTGGAAATTTCATGTGAATAGAATGCTTGATGGAGTCGTGATAGCAAAATACGTACATTGTGTCTAGATATTTTGAGCATCTATTTCCTTCAGTTTTCCCTACTTCCAACCCAAGAGCTGCACCCCAGAGCCTTGCGTTTTGTCCCATGTACATGCACAAATCGCACACTCTAATGTATTTTACCCTTTAAGTCCAGTCCGCCATATCTTGGTCCTATCTTTTTATGGCCTCACGACTAGATCTTCAAGGGGAAATCTCGGTAAGGTAGGAGCCACTGGCCACGTCCAGGATTTTTCCGCATCGCATTTGCCTACAGCGCCACAGGTCCACTTGATGATCTACCGCGTTGCTATTTAGTGTCAAAGTCAACATGACTAATATACTGTTTAGGGCGTGTTTGCATACCGTTCATCTGCTCAATGGTATGGGTATGAAGACTGTGCTCATTTGATGGTGTTTGTGGAGACGACATTATCACTTGGTTTGTGCGACATTCGTTGTGCACATTAGCGGGTTCATTTGGCAGTTGGATTCGAATCGGTGCTCTCCAGGTGGCTTCTAGCCCTGCCTTGCTTTCCCAACCAATCTCTTTCTGTCATTTTTACACATAGGTTTACTCGATTTCCTTTTTTTCGCAATCGCATGTTCCAGAACACCAAAATCGCAAATGTGGTAAATAACAAGAGTATCTGAATCCTCGTGACTGCTCCAACTCTTTCTTTAACCCGTGGTCATTGTTTTCATATCTTTTAGTAACCGGCATTAATTCCTGTCGCAATGATTATTTAACTGTGATGCCTGTAAGTAACATGATGGTGCCAGTTTTAAATTGCTCCAATTTGGCTTTCTTCAGGGGCATAGTCCCATCCCAAGCTGACTCCCTCTTCCTTCAAACGGCTGGTAAATTGGCAACTTACGGCATCGATTTCCACAGATTTCATGTAAGTTCCACTCACTGTCCTTAGCTTTTCATAAACTGCCTTTAGGGACTAGTCTTTTGTAGTAAACATAGAGTGACTGTACGAACCCCGCCTTGCAAATCACAATCTAACCCTTTGGTGGTTTATGGGTACGAATTAGAGGCGAATTCGACGTCAAAGAAAAACGCTCGCTTTTCTTGAGATAAGCGAGACACTGTTGAACCAAATGTCTACTACTTTGCGATGCCCTTCATTGGCCAACACGTCAGTGGAATCCCTGCGTCTACTTTCACCTCATTCACTAACAATAACTGGTTATTCTAATTCCAAGTTGGCTCATAGCACCACGTTTCCTTTGTGTTTATAATATTTATTTTGTTGTCCCCAATTTAATTTGCATAAGTATTATTGGTGAATTTGTTTAATTCAGATCTTCGCCAGTAAAAATGCCTGAAAATCGTTTTGCTTCAACTCCTCGGTTCGCCTTACAGTATTTGATTCAAACCAAGTACGATTTGTTGCCACACCTGCGTCTTTGTGGTTTCCCTAGCCGTTTGGTGGCTAATGTTTCCGATCTCTCTGTGACTTGAAGTTTTTTTAAAAGGTGTTTAATTACTTTCATGAGGTCATGCGAATGTGTTTTGGCTGTTACATAACCTCTCTGTCTGCGTTGTTTAAGTAGTATATCATAACATCAATGTTCTCTTCGTGTCTCTTAAAGAGCTCAGGCAGCTCAACGGCACATCTGAATGCAGCAGGTAATCTGTCTGGTGATTTGGAAAATCGCAGAAACTTTGTTCGCGGCTCGGGCCTTTCACAAAGCATGCGCCACAAAACGTCGACGAAGTCTTCTACCCTCATGAACCGCTTTTCGCGGACTCGTCTAAGTCTTTCACCCTCAACGGCAGTCACTCGTGTCAATTCCCACGTAGCACCTACATCTGCCAACACTGGTAAACGCTTGACTCATTTTTTGGCTGTTTGGTATAGTTTCCCTTTTGAAAACTGACTCTAGTTGAACTTTTTTGTAATCGCTGCTTGTGGTCTTATTTTTGCTATTCTAAGCTCTGGATGTTCAGGTGCGTTTACCATAATAAACAGTGATATCGTTCCCGATAGATGCTGTTTGTTGGAGGGGATTTTTCCAGTACACAAAACAGATTTGTAAGTAAGCCTTTGTTGGCCCAGATCGCCTGTTTGTGTTATCTCTCTCCGCATTTACCGGTCGGTCATTGTAGGTGTAAATAGGAGGGCGTTGGGGAACGTCTAGAGGTAGTTACCAAAGGCTAACACGACAGCAAACAGTGGACATGGTACATCATGACAAATGAAGTAAGCGCCACCACTACTGCCATCATAGTTGCGGTCGAATATGTGGGTTCGTTTTCCTAAACAGTTGGCGTTAAAAATTCGCAGATTATAGTGCGAGTGCCTACTCTGTGTATTGTGTTTGGCCTTGCAATTTTGCGTAATTTTGGACTATGCCGCCAGTCCTTATTGCGGGACGGCTACTGGGACATCTGAAAATTCCCAGTGAAACCTTGGAGCACCTAGATTCGCAATTAACCCAGCAAGATTTCTAATCCTGTTAACCAGTCCTGTCTTTTCACCCTAGCACACTGGCGACCCACGGATATTCCTTATGGACCAATTAAATTTGGGTTCTTGTGATCCGTACCCCACCTGCTGTTGCTGTTGTTCAATTTGAAATAGTAGTCTAATTTTTGAATCACATATGACTACAATCCAAGGTTTAATAATCATGTCTCGATTTTCACATTTTTGGACCGCCGAAGCTCACTGTAGTCCTGGTTACGATTATTGTGTAGAACCACTGTAAACCTGTTTAAAACCGTCAGTATACGCTCACCAGTATTTTTTTCTGCAGTTCTGTCCACACATAGTGATTAGTGATATATGTGATTTTTAGGTCTTGACGGGGTTCAGTCTCCTTCATCTTTAAGTGCCACTCGTCATCAGTATCCCAATTTCCTGGGGGTCTTTTACGGTGGAATTTATGTATACCGAGGACGTTTGCGTCTGGAGCATCACCCATGGTCCGCGATTGTAAAAATGGCATATCGACGGGCCTCATTCCGACTTTGCTTGAGGCTCGCCAACTCCGAGGTAGTATTTTCAGCTTCTCTTACAAATCCCAGATCTTTTTGCCTTCATATGTTGATGATTGAGCTCATTAAGTAAAATCGTAATTTCTAGGGCTTCTGGGGTTAAAGGTGTAGCAGGTCGTAGGTTCACCGAATTTTTTATTGGGCTCGTCGTAACCATTTTGCCCGTGCGTCACTCTCACCCCAGCAACCAACCCTGACCCCAGCTACGTTATTCCGCCCTAGATTGATGGATGCCTCAGTTTCCTCTTCTTTTTTGGACTTTCGCTCATTCAACTAACACTGCGATCAAGGAAATATAATCAGACGCAAGTGTTGAGTGGGTTGTGATCGTGGGCCTGCCTAATAGACAAAAATGTACTTTTAATGGCACAATCGAATAATGCTTAAGCTGATTAAGGATTTACAAAAACAAGCAAGCTTTAGTTTAAAATTTGCGTTAGATTATGACTGTGCTTAGTCTATTCACACTCTCATTTTCGAATTTCGCCCGCCGCGCCTCTTGTGGTCCACCGTCTCTTTATGGCACTCCTGATTTCCACACTGACATTTGCCATTCGCCGTTTTGTTTTGCAGAAAGACGGGCTCGTCCAAATCGTCAAGTTCGACTGTGGAACCACGGCTCTTGCAAAGCGCATCTATCGATCCTGTGTCGATCACCACGCTCTGTTTAGGTATGTTCGTGAACACATGGCTAGTTGACGTCTTTCTAGCACCGTTTGTTTACATTTCCTGCCCACTCCATTTTTGGACAACATCAGCTAATTTGCTGTCCTTGTGAATACGCAACCATATGTTCTTGCACCGGTGAATATATTTTTCCATTCGTTATGCGGTTTGTAGCGACGTTCAATTATTCTTTTTGTTATTTTTTTGTTTAAAAAATGCAACAATCAAATTTTATAAATGACATCCTTCCATCTTTCAAAACGTCATGTTAAGGTGCGTAACAGATGGTTGAAATGTGGTAAATCGACGTCGCTCGCTGCCTCATTTGCCTACGGCGAAGTTTGGTCCACATTTCCACTTCGAGATGCATTTAGTAAATTTCACTGCAACTTTGGGTAATACGCATGGTATAATTTTGGACTACGTGTATTTAAAAATATTTGAAGGGTCATTCTGACCATCGGAAATTAATGAACTTGTCCTAACGGTGCACCAGACGTGGTTTTCCTTGGCTCAGCTACAACTGTTTTGGTGTAAGCTTTTGCACAATCAGTCAGTTGAACATCCGAACCATTGGAGAGGTCGCTAATAATTTATAATTTGCTAAGGTTTTGAATTTGGGGAGTCTATTGACATTAATCGTCGATTTCTTTGCTGAGCCATGATTGTGTACACTTTCTGCTACTTTTAGACATGTCTAAAACTCTTCACCTTCCTCGAAACAGCAGAGTTTTCGATCGTACACGAATTTGATGTAAATCTCTTGTTGAATATTCTGAAATGAAGGGGAATTTGCAGTTGTGCAACACTCTGGCTTGACCAATTGACCTCTATTCTGGTGCTCAAAGGTTCTAATCTGGTTTAAATGGCATTTTGCTTCTCTATCCAAAGGCTTCATGGTTTCAACGGAAGATTAAATGGTCCAAATGAATTCTGCACACCCAATGAATCCTTCCCCTTCCCAACTGCCACTCGCCTTCGGCGTCTTCACGTGGGCCCCCTTCCCAATTCCTGCTCCTCGCGTCTCAACACCGTGGCAATCTGTACGCCGGCGTCCATGGAAGAATGTTGCACTGTCTCCGTTGCTACAAATGGAACGACCTTCGTGCCAAACCAATCATCCACCCCTCTCGCTAACAGACATAGACCCCGGAGTGTGCCAGATATCCGTGGTAAGTTGCTGTTACTTGCAAGCCCGGGGGTGTGTTCTGTGACGTCGAAAGAGCCTGATAGGTCAGTTAATGACCCAAACTGGTAGGTGAACATTCGTGAGTAGTTGTTAATTGTCTAGAATCTCCGTTAGGTAATTCATAACAATTATTGAATCCTACGGGTTTATGCACACACTCTGGCTGAAATTTAACCCCTTAAATGAATCGTAAACGCTCTCGCACCAAGTCAGTTGAATTACCCTTACACTAAGCCTGTTCTTCGCCGCCTTTACTGGTAGCTCTTGTCTGAAGGAAATGGCAAGCAATGTTTTAATATTCTCCTGCATTCCACCAGCTGAATCCCTCAAACAACGAAAGCACGGAAGCAATTCAGTTATCGCCATCTTCTAAGAATGTAAAAAGTTTCGCAAAAGACCATGAGACTTGCACCGTGGTGTGACTTAAATCTCAGACATGCGTTTCTAGATCCCCATGCAGAGATAATTTGAACCAGCGCTATCACTTCTAGGCAATTTGAATGCACCTTCGACACCTGGACGTCAGATTGCCCTCTTCCGCTCAGCCCAAAAGTTTTTCTCCCGTCTCCTACGCCGGCCGTCAGTCAGACAAAAAGGCCACAAATCCATCTCAAAGGTAGTTTGGAGGTCTCGTCTCCAGCCATCCCTCTCTGAAGAGATGATAACTCAGCGAGTACGTGATTTCGATAGTGTTATTTGGTCATTTACATGTCCAACTGCTTGACTCTCTTTTGTGTCAACGCACAGGAAGAAGTCACCGACCTGAGTCTGATGAGGACTGGCGAATCGACATCTTCCTGTGCTGTATTATCAACAGCAGCGTCCACTTCACCGTTGCCGTTGTGTGTCTACTCGGAGTGGAACAGACCCCCTCTACCCGGTCCCATCTGGCGACTGAGTTCTGTCGATGCTTCTCCTGGTCTCTCGCTCGATACGTCTAGTGGTTTAGTAAGACATGTTTTAAGACATGCATTTGTGTTCTATTGGACTGTGGGTGATATGCTGCAAAATGCAGTGCGTTTATTGGCTCATCGTTGTGTTCAAAACTTGTAAATGGGTTCTCTAGACCATGCTAGCTGCTTAGATTTACATATTTGTCTTTGTGAAACCCAAAAACAATCGTCTAGAATTACCCACTCGAATGTAATATAAAACGAAACATTGTGTACTTTTAAGTACCACCAATCAGATGGGTCCGTTTCCCAGATTCCAAGGGTACGCAGCGCCTAGTTACTTTGTTTATCGTGCTTACTCTTGCCCACCATGCTGCCTTCTTGTAGACAGTTTCACGAGATTGGCGATTTCTTGTTAATCGAGGAGAAAACGGTATCCCAAATGAGTGGCGCGGTTGTCGGTCTGCGTGGGGCGTTGTGGAAAACGTCCCACTCGCTGCCGATGAGAGTGCAGCAGCTCCTGCGTGTTTCGCTCAGCGACGATTTTTCTTCGAGGTTCGATTGAATGGTTGTGGACCAGTCCGCATCGGATGGGCAACCGAGGTATGAAACTATTTTTGACAAAGTCTAGTGGATGAGTCTGCTCGTTTTCCGTAACCCCCATGGGTCGCATTTGAACAGCGTCTCTCCATTGTTAGTGTTAACTGGCCAAAACTACTTAGGCGCCTTTTCTTAAGTGGGACAATGAATTTATCCGTAATGTGAGGGGTTTTTTAAAGAAGAACCTGACTACATTTAGTTTGTTCGCTGTTCTAATACAGTCCACGCAGTGGTCTAGATATTGTGTTGTAACGAAAACTGTTCTCACATTTTTATCTGTATTTTGACGGATTTGCAGGATGCTAGTCTTGTCCTCGGTGAAGATGAACGGGGTTTTGCTTACCAAACGGATACTCCTCTACCCGCGATGAATGACGACTCTGGTTGTGATGGTTGTCTGAAAACCGCTCCGGCTGAGACGAAGAGCGAAAACGAGTTGCTTTCGGGAACCTTGATTATCGGTGGAGCCTGTGTCGCTACTGTATTCGGTTCATGCAAGGGTGATGTGATTGGATGTTACCTCGACCTTGACAGCCGACTGGCCCATTGGACAAAGAACGGTTCCGCTTCAGTGAACATGAGTCTGCCCATAACACAGTTTCCCCCAAAGACCGTATTCTTTCCAGCCTGCGCTATAAGGGTGAGTTATGCGTTGCTCACTTTTGTTTCCCATCTGTCAATGCTTTTGACCTTGTTCGTCTCCTACTAATGCCCTTATATACTCAATGCTGTTTTTCCTTTCAGTCTTTCAAAATTTAGCTATGAAGCAAAGCGAATTTACGTCTTTCGTGCACTTGAAATAGCCTATATGTCATAAGAGATGTTCCACTCTATGTTCGTATCTGGGCCGTGTTCAAAGCGTCAGTAAGGAGAGTAATGTTCCCATGAAATGGGAAGATCAATGGGCATCATGTCATTAGTTATGTGACTTTCCCTCTGACCACGTATTTGCACTTTGTCAGAATACCTCAGTGACCTTCAATTTTGGCGATGCCCCTTTCGCGTATGGGCCGATGCTTCCCACGGGGAGCCAGTTCTCGTCCAGCTGGCTGCCATTAGCTTCAGCCAACCTAGTGGCCGAAGTCGTTGGCTGCGCTGACAACAGAATCGTCGGATCCGTCCTCTTTCCCATTCGTTTAATTCCGAACCCCCGTACAAGTTGCATACTGGTTCAACAATCAGAGCCGGGATGCCCGTCGAATGGTTCTCTGCTGTCCGCCGATAGGCTCTGTGCTCGAGCTCGTCTGCACGCTGGATGGCAGGTATGCGCATGTAGTGCGCGATTTCACTTTTTGGTTATGGTGCCGCTGAGTACAACTTGCCCGACAACGCTACTCAGACACCCGGAAGAAGACAGAAGGATACCAGAGGTAGAAGAGACAGCCGTTTGCTAGGAAGCTCAATCAACTTGTAGTTTTTGTGTGAATAAGCACGATTCACAACCGTGGTTTGCACCTTTTTCCACAGAGTGGTCAAGCTTTAGCATGCCACGTTGAAAGATCTAGATTCGTTGTGGAAGCATTTATTTTTCAACATTATTTTTTTGTGGTTCTGTACTCTGTCAAACGCTTTTCTGTGCGTTGACTTGAGTCCTTTTTTCTTGCAGAGCCTTTACGCGTCTTCCTCAATCCCTCCCCCAGCAGACGTGACATCGCAACAACACCAGCTACCCTGCGTCTACTTCGAAGTTCGAATTCTCGAATCCCTGAACATTCCTGGATCCGGTGTGTTCGTAGGCTTCTCAACCGGAAGACCGATACACAATGTAGACAAGGATGCCACCAGTTTTGGCATTATTTTTGAACAGGGTTCGAACATGGGGACGTCACTTCTTCACGCTGGAGTCAAGCGACCTTATGGCCGGGTAAACTAAAGCCATTCAATATACTTTAGGAATACCAAACATGCATGCCTTTCGAACTTCGTAGAAACGGATGAATCCGTAAATTCTCATGAAACTGTAGTGACTATGGTCTAAGCACTACCTTACAACCCTCTAGTTAACAGCCCGTAACAACCCGAGAATGAAGAGAGGAGAGGCGAGAGAGGACACGACCGTTTATTAGCGTCACGCCAGCCAAGTGTGTCTTAGTGTGTGGATGATTGAACGGATGACAGGCATCTAATAGAGTAACCAAAGAAAAGGAGATGAGTCATTGTCGCCGCCAGGTGAGTAATCAGGGTTCACTCAGGTGCGATCGCTGTTAATCCGCTACAAATCTCCATTCGTTTCTTTGGGGCTGGCTGAATTTTTTTCGCAGAGCGATAGATACAACCTCCACTCGACCCATGTGTCTGTGTCCATTAAAAGGAATTTCTGTTATGAACATCTCTAAAGCTCCGATCTTTTTAGTGCAAACGTTGCTCGCTGAATATTGTTCCAAATTTGCTGTGACAGATCCTATTAGCGTGTTTCTTTGTTACGTCAAGTTGACTGGTGCGATCTTCCCCTTTGCTTAAGGCTTTACGACAGGGTGACGTCATCGGTTGCATCTTGAACCTCCAGTCTGGTTTGGTTGTCTGGGCCAGTAACGGGGAACACCTCGGTCATATTGTGCAGCTCTTCACCTCACCCTCCCAACTGCCTGGCAGTGAAAACACCGCTGCTCTTGCCGACGATGTCATTTTGATTCCGCCGCAGCCAGACGAACGCTGCTTCAATTTTTGTCCTGTGTTTTCCTTGTGCAACACCTCCATCGAAGTCAACTTTGGTGACGGTTCTTCTCCGCTGAAATACATCGACAAGGTATTGAAATCTAGGTTCTAATATATGTGTTCTTCCACCGGTCAATAACTGAACCACTGTCGTCAATGTTGATTATTACGATCCATGGTGAATGATTAATAGAAGAGTCTCTCAATTGGTGTAATGGATGTGTGTATGCGTATTCTTGGTGAGGAGTGTAACCATCAGTATTTAGTTTATGTTTTACATTATTTTAAAGATTCGAGGTAAATCCAAGTTCGGCTTCTTGCCGTTCCCATCCTATGCGGCTTGTCCGAATGCTTGAAAGGTGACTCAGTCGGATGTCTTTTGTGTGCTCAATGTACAACTCCTACTCGTGGTTTCGTTATTTCAATGTTGGCTTATTTCGCTGGTGCTCTATTCACACGTATCTCGCTGACACAAGTGGTGCAATGCCGTCATAAAATTTACAAATGACAAGCCTTTATTGTCATATTGTAGTCATCAACTCTTGCTTTGGCAGTTAATGTTTAAATTCTAATTTTGGCTTTATCTGAATGAGAAGGAATGTACATGTACTTCCAAAAATTAACTAATTTACATCAATTGACCCAATATCCTCCAAGCTGTAACGCAACTAGCTTTTGTTAATTTTTGTGCGCAATTTATCTGCGAAATCGGCAATCTAATTGACCGCTTTATTCTTATTCTTATGACAGTATTCTCTTTCTTATCAAGCACTCAAACTGCATTCCTCTGTGTCAGTATCAGCGAATGCTTGAAGACAGCACTTTTTCCTCAAACACACTCCACCAGCCACTAAAAGGTTCTGTCAAAAGTCACCGCCATCACTCATTTGCACAGTATCGGATGGCGACCAACCAAAACAGCGTAAACGGCCATCAACCTGCTGTGACGACCGCCGGGGTCCACAAGTCCGCCTCATGCCTCTCCGCCCTGGCTACGTCTTCGGCCACAGTGGTAATCCATCAAAACATAATCACATACACTTGCACCAAGTAGACCTTCTTTCCTCATGTGTTGTCCTTCAGAACTCGCATGCGTGTACGGAGGCTTTGGATTCTCAGGCTCTGTTGCGGGCGAAAATTCCCCTTGTTCCTGTGAAAACACACACCTGGCGGCTGAATTCTGCTCCGACCGACAACGGCATTGTCAGGGTAAGGGTCTTGCTTTAACAGGGGTACTTGAATTTAAACGGCCAGTCTTCAATCGAAGTGCTTTAGACTTCAGTTAAGAAGTGTGCACTTTCCCAATCGAAGTAGAGCGCGCTAAGTGCGTTCGATTCTCCGATTGGTTAGCATCGTCAGGCTGCAATTAATAGTTTCGGGTGGGACGCATGATTTTTAAGTACCCTTGTCTCTTTGCAACTGATGCACGATGTCCTTTTGCGATTTCATGTGGAAATGCCACGGAGCCCTGCTTCGGGGGAGGCCGTCCTCCTTAACTTTGTAGTGAGTTTTTAAGCAAAGATTAATTTGTCATGCACCTGTAAATGTGCGTCGCCTAACTAAAAAAATTATTATTTATATGCACACATTAAATGCTAGGGGTACGGTGATTAAGTGTAAGAGCTCCTTGATCAAAAATGTGTTTTGTGGTTGAATGAGCTGCATGTCGTTTTCCCAACTTTAGTCCTCACTTTTTAGCTCATCACATCGCCTACAATTCCGGCGCCTTGGTCTCCGGTTGATCAGGTTCTTCCGATTGTGCGAACCCACCGGATAACCTTTTCGGGTATCCGACCGGTCGAGCAGATGGAAACTGGTGATGATGCTGATGGGACCTCTGGTAGCCTGCGTCGATCAGCGTCTGACAGCGTGCAGTGCGTTACGACGCCGCGGTGTCCACCCGTAATGGCTGTTATTCAGCACCTCTGTGGTCAGTCCCAACAAAGCTGTTCATCTGCAGCAAATAAGTCGTCTTCTTCATCATTGATAGAAGTGAGTGGTGGAAATCTCGCCTCGCAGATGCGTAAATAACCTCGTCTAGTGAAATAGTTCTTAAATGCCTATGATTATTAGACTTGCAATAACATTCGATTTATTTAGCCCCTCCAGCAGAAAGACCATTACAGCCATTTTGAAATATTCAAATTGATTAGGTTGTAACACTTACATGAGGTTGGATTGCACGTGGGGTCGGCTTAATGTTCGACAAATCTAAATTAATTTAGATGGTACTAAACTAGTCTCAAAGAAGTTAATAACAGACAAAAATCATGTTTCCAAGATCGAATACCACGAAATCCCTTTGTCATTTGACCTCAAAAACGTCATCTTCTAGAGTCTTTCAGTGAACGACGCCGGTGTTGAGCTACCGTTAGCAAAGGGAACAATAGAAAATGCCGAATCAGGTGCTTGCTATAGTGGGAAGCGCGCTTTGATCGGCTGTTTCATTCCGTAAGCGCTGCCCTTCAATCAGCCCTGTCGAACTATCTCCCATTACTTGCCTACGTAATTTCAGAGCCTATGGTACATTCGGACTATCTAGGAGTAAAATGCATGGATTATTTGTGTAAAAAGTGATTAGCGGATTAACAGCGATTGCGCTTGAGTGAATTCTGGTTGCTGATCTGACGGTGACAATGACCCATCTCCTTTTCATTGGTTGCTGTTTTAGATGCCTGTCATCCGATCACTCATACCCGCACTATGACACACTTGGTTGGCGTGACGCTAATAAACGGTTGTGTTCACTGTCGCCTCTTTTCCGCTCTTCTTGGGCTGTTACGGGCTGTTAACTAGAGGGTTGCAAGGTAGTGCTAGATCCTAGCCACTACAAGTGCATCTGGGCGAGCTAGAATTTTGTCACTCCTCACGAAGTAGGTGGTGTGGATGTGTAATGAGATGGTGTTTTCTTCGTTTTCAGCGACGTCTGGCACAAATTCCGT